TTCAAACATTGCTTCGAAATATTGCAATATAAGTCGTATCATGAATTCATCCTTTCCTGAAAACGGTCTAAAATTGTCGAAAAATCCAATATGTCCTCCTCTTGCAGTTAACAAAATAGCAACATTTTCTGTAGTGGAAGCTAGTTCTATAGGTACATCTAAAATTAAAATTGACAATAATTAATGTCTGAAAGTACTTATTGTGTACAATTTAAGTTCTCCGAAAATTCTACATTTAAAAAATCGGCCCGGTGTTTAAAAATATGTATTTATTTAATGTATAAACTAAACAGATATAAAGGGTGATTTTTTTTATCATTAACCACTCAATATCTCGTAGGGTTTAATAAGAAATAAAATAGAATTTTTTTTCATATTGTTATTATACAATGTGATCTCAATTTTTCAGTATTTATTTTTACCCCCTTCCTACTTAGTTGTTTTGATAGCAACTTTTGAAGCTTAAATGGTAACATATATATATTTTATTATCTTTTTAAATTGATCATAATTTACTAAAAATGTTGACTGGTCGGTAACCAGTTTCGGATGATCATTTTTCAATTTATAAGTGTTTTGAAGTTATGATGGGAGAGGAAGTGCGGTTGGGAAATGCGCGCAGATAAAAATAATACTACACCTCACCTTTCCTCCTGCCCTAAACATGAAACTTCAATAACTTTAAAAATAAATAACCGAAACTCGTTATCGACAAGTCAAAATTTGTAGTACAATATTCTCAACCTAAAAAGTTAAAAAATATATACGTTAACATTTAAGTTTCAAAAGTTGCTATCCAAAAAACTGAGTTAGGAGGGGGGTAAAAACAAATAAAAATGGGAAAAATTAAGATCACATTGTAACTAGGTAAATGAAACATAGGTAAATGAAAAACATTTCCTAACTTAAGTTTTATAATAAAAATAAAAAATAATAATGTATGCAAGATGTAGTTCTATCTTGGTAACAATATTTTAACATGATTTTACCGGGTTTTAAAGATATAGGATCATCAGCAGCACTCAAACACAAACATGGTATATTAAAGCGGTTTATTTTGTCATGTATTGAAAAAGAATCATAGTAATCATCAATCGTGTCGTAGTCGAACATTTTAATTGTGAAATTTCTACAAAACTCGTCTCCAGTTTTACTCTGAAATCAAAAAAAAATTGAGTAAATTATATTTTAGACAAAACCGTTACACGTCTTCATACCTTAATTACTTCATTGTAATTCCACTTTTGGTTTGGACAGTCAAGGACTTTCCTATTCCTAAATGGAAATATTAAATGTGATATATAAGTTATACATAAAAAAACATACTTTTGTGGCGGAATATAAAATAACAAACTTCTTCACAAAATGTATAAGGCAACGTGTAAAATACGAATCAATCATACGGTTCATGGTACTTGTTGACATAGATGATGCGGAAGACTTTATATTCCAAGCCACTGATACAAACATTGCAGCACTCAAATGTTTATGAGTATATTGATCGTTAGAATACATATAAATTCCTAACAACGAACTATAAAACAAAAATGTTTAATATATAAACAATTATAACAGTTACGGTTACTTACCTACCCATCGATATTCCTAAACCACCTAAAACAGTTTTGGGGTACTTTTGTTTTACATGATGAATAACCTCTGTAAGATCTTCTATATTGCTTCCGGAATAACTTCTTGGCGTCTAAATATAAAAAATAATCTTTTTTATTTGAAATTGGATAAAAACATTGACAAAACTTAAAACGACTTAAACGAAAAAATTAATAGTGCAATAATTTAAGTAAGGACTTTTCCGTTTTTTCGCCTACTCGATGGGCGTTATATTTTAGTAAACTGGCTTAGAATCGGATGCGTTTATAATAGATTTGTTTAAAAACGACATAGTAGATATTGATTGAGGTTTTGGATAAAAAACTAAAATTATAAGATACCACTATAATGTTATCATATAATGAAAGAACAATATCCATTACAAACAAGTTAAAACGAAAAATATATTGTATTTATCTTTTATTTTATTTATTCATCCATCAAATTTATTTACACTCAGTAAATAATCTACTCTAGACTAAATTGGTTATTAAAAGGAGCTTTCTCAATTAATATAAATATTTATAATATTATCACTAACCTTTAATTTGATTCCAGCCAATCCTCTATAATTAAAAACAACTACTCGAAATCCAGATTTTTGTAGGGCTAATGATGCAGCTCTCACATACCCAGTTCTAGAACTATGGCCAAGCCCAGGTAATATCAAAATCGTGACATCTCCATTTTTTGAATTTTCATTTGGTTCTAAAAAATCTAATGCTACTTGACCGCCATCTTTGAGATCCAGTAATTCTCTAGAAAAAATTAGCTTAATAAATTACGCCATACAATAACATCGACATTATTGAGGTGTACCTGTCATATTTTACGGATGGCACAAATAGATGTCGCATAAAAGCTGCTATCAGAGTATTCACATGAGGTTCAAAACCCAATACCAACGGCCACATTTTTGCTTTTGTAAGGGGCACATTTTGGTAAAGAAATCTCTTGAAATTGCCTTCTTTGCAGTGTAACATAGGTTCCTAAGTGAACAATTTGTTTGTATATTATAATTGTACACATTATTTAAAATGTTAGCGATAACACTAATGTTCATAAATCGTTATTAAAACTGGTTATCGACCAGACAAAATGTTTATTGCTTAAGTACATATTATAATGAGACTAAAAAGTTAAAATGATATCTCAAAAGTGATTTCCAGTCGTACGATAAAGGTTGTATCCTACATTAGTCTTATACTTAAAACAATTGTTGTCTTAAGAAAACCTATTCTACCCTATTGTCTTTCCGGAATTCTAGAGTCTATATTATACTCTTGTTGTTTTATCTTTATGTTTAAGCTTTTAGTTTTTTAAAAATTGTCGAATACCTAACTCTAAAATATATTTATAACTACTTACTTGGACTACAGATGTCAAATAATAATATGTGAATCCAATAACTGCAGTTGATCCGAAAACACCGAGCAAAGAAAAACCACCTAAATTGAATATTTGATTAACAAAAAAATCCATTGTATGAATAACAGTTTTACAATTGGTTAAAATCTTAACAAGAGTAAAGGAAATAAAGTATGCAGAATTGTTATCTATCTATATATATAATTATTATTGAAACGCACTGTTTGAAAACTACACAAGATATGTCTTATTTAGTTAATTTAAACTTTGCGGTTTTATACTAGTTTGGAGGTCAGATGCGATGCATTTTTTTTGCTATTAATTAACATTTAGGTCTATTATAATTAAATTTTGGCATGTGAAACACAATAGAAATTTCAATGGAAAAGTACATGATGAATAACAATAAATGTAGTTTAATATTTTTAGCATTATTTTTAACTTGTTTTAGAGGTCAGTTGCATTTCATTTGTTTTTATTTATTTAACTTGAATAACTCATTTTTTTATTACAATTGCATTTTTTCTTGTGTGAAACAATGAAACAATAAATAATTTATATAAGTTGCTTGCATAATTAGTTTTCGTAGAAAAAATGATTTAAGTATGAGAAAAAAAATGCTTTAATTCTTTAATAATGATATCAAATAATAATATGTAAATCCATTAATTGCAGTTGAACCAAAAACGTAGATTAAAGAAAAACGACTTAAGTTTAATGTATAAAGTATCTACTTTATATTATAATATTATTATTGAACTGCACTGTTTGTAAACTACGTAAGATGTATCTTACTTAGTATATGATATAAGTCGGCATCTAATTTTTTTTTCATATTGTATGCTGATTGCATGAATCATTGAAACACATTTTGTTTTTTTTCCATTTTAGTTTACTCGTTTAAGAAGGTAGCGTACGGTATATCAATACATTATGAAGTTGTATATGTGTTATAGTATTTTTTTTAAATACTGTAAGACCATGGCTAACAAAATAACAGTTTCAATAGAATTTGTTTTTAACGTGCATATGAAATTATTCAATTTTGTATGAAAATAATTAAATACAATATAATTTAATACATTTAATGACAAGTTCCAGTATCGTTTTTAAAACATTTTCTATTAAACAATTCCATCAATAAACAAACTAAATAATGATAAGCAATTTATTACATTTATACTGTTTTTATAATGTTCTAAAATGTTGTAATAAGTGTTTTTTAGACTCATTTCCCAAAAAATAATTTATCAAATTATGGTCACCTAACTCCTTCATCCTTGATGCTGGGCTTATTATCTAACTAAGAACTACCATTAACAATGTTCATATTATGTATTTTTCTATACGACTTATTTTCGTTTTGCATTTTGTTGTGTTATTTATTTTTTAAAAAATAATTACATGTTTAGTTTTAGAATTTGCAAGTCTACTAAATAACTCCTGGACCACTTTAAAATGTAGTTAACACATTCCTATAATTTTATTTTTGAGTCCACTAAATGTGTTCAAATCTATCTTAAAATACAATATACTAAAATACTATACATCACTGTTTATTTTGCAAGTTGTGTTTTTAAGTTTGGAGGTCCACTAAATGTCTTCAACGTTATCATAAAATATATTGTACATAATTATTTAATTTCCGAGTCCTTTTTGTTTGAATGCATTTTTTGATGATTTTCATACACATCACCTAAGTAGGCTTGCAAATTAAATAATTGTGTACAGTATATTAAATAATGATTTTAAACGCAGTTACTGGATGTGGAAATTCTGAAACCCACTCGGTAATCATAAGAATATGACAATTCGATTTTATAGTACTTTAGCAACGCCCATGTAGTGGCTTTGCAATTTGCAAGTTCAATTTGGAAGGGCCAAATTCACATGTCGAAAATCCCCGACGGTGATGTTGTCTTGATATTAAAAAAAAAAATCATCAAGCTGTGTAAATAAATTAACATGCGGCGAAAACTTTTTTGGATTTAAATATTCTTATAAAAATATAAGACCTTGAACTATGAGTCGCCAAAAGACCATTGTATGATAGTTATTTCATTTGAAAAGCTGTTCAAGTCGATTGTTGCCTTGGAAATTCTATCAGTTGAAAAATGTATGTAAGTATTTCCATCAAACTGGCAATTTCAAAAGAATTCTATAATAGATTTAAATGTATTCAATAGTATTTTACTTAATGTGTACTACAGTAAAATATATTAGCATACATTATTATTTACAGATAAAAATGAAACTTTATTGTTTTTTGATATCATTTGTCTTTGCAAATATCTCGGCATTTTATGATCTCAGTAATTATTTTATTTTCCCGATTACCTTTTTAAGAAAGTTAAGAAATTGAAATTAAATTCAATCTTTCACTTTTTTACAGCGTGTTATAAAAGGAAGGTTTTAGTTACAAGTCAGTAATATCGTTTTTAAGCTTTTAAAATTTACTACTTTTATACAATTTTTTTTATTTTACACTTATGTATTACAGACAAAACCATCGAGCTTGCTTATAATATGAATAATACTATAGGAGATGTTGAAACAAGTAAGAAAAATATTTAAAAACAATATGCTAATATATATATATATATAAGTTGTGTTACGTCTGCTTAATTGTCAAGTCATTTGTAAAACCAATGTACTAAACATTGTGAAAATACTAATGTTGTAATTATTAAATCTTTCAGTTTTATATTTATACTTAAAGTAGTGTTTTCTTTAATTTACACAAAATACACTTGGTAATAAGCAGTGACCCATTTATAATGTACTATATTTTCGATATGATTTGAATTTTTATAATAGAAGCCATATAACAGGAAGTTCTTATTTCAAACACAAAAAAAAACTGTTTTCAATTACCAAACCCGCCTAAAAAGAAGTGATTTTAAATGGCGATATTTCATTTTTAATTTTGGTTGTTCGAAGATGTTATGTTCAGCACAAAGCAATGGCTAGGCGCATTTGTAGCAAACGATTAAACCAATAAGTTTTATAGTAATGATTATAGTAATTATTAAACAGTTTCTAATTAACTTATTAATCGTGTATGACGAAAAAAATATATTGTTATATCTTCGGGTAGGTACATTATAACTATTTTGAGCCAATACAAATAATAAAGCGCAATAGCTGTATTATTTAATAACCAACAACAACACATATCTTATTTTAATACATAATGACTCAAATCAAATAAATAACGCTTTTATAAATAAAAATCAAACGAATAGGCAACAAAATATGTTACTCAAGAAGGTTTAAACATAATACGTTAAATATTATTTCATAAATAAACTATTCATGTATATTATTTATTTATTCATCTAGTATACAAACTAATTATGAAATTAAATATAAACAAAATAGTTTTTTTTTAATTCTTATTTATTTTAATTAAACATTTTAAATTGCTGTTAAAGGGTTTGTGGTTTTTTAAATGTTTCATATGGGCAATATTTAAGAAAAAAGCGGTTTGCATAATTGAATTTTTTTCAGGTTATTTTTAAAGTATACAATTTTGTTTGTAAGTTAAAGCCATTTTGGTGGTATAAGAAACGAATTTAGACCAAAAAGCTTAAGTATTTTTGTATATTATTCTATTTCGTTAATAACATTTCGGTAAAAAAGCATTGTCTGATTTGATTTAATTCCATTGAAAATCATAAATGTACAAAAACTGGGACTTTTAAGCATCTTTATTCCTTTATTGAATGAAGAGGGACTATAATATGTGTCGCATACAACCTATTAGAAAGAGTAGCGTTATGTCAAATGGCAACTTCTTGCGGCACGGTTTAATCTTATCCTAAAGTTATTGATAACTGATTTGATTTAATTTTTTTATTATATACTTATGTTTATTTTAGATGGATTGGAGCAAGTAATTCAAACGATCGTTGACAATGAAGATAAATATTGTTTAGGTAGTCATAATCGTCATAATAATAATACAAATAAATAAATATAAAAGTGGAAAAGGTATTTCAAATTTATACGAAAATTACAACTCAAATTCATCTTTATGCAGTTCATATGTGATATAAATGTTAAAAATTGTTTCAATACCTTAATGGAATGTTTTTTGAAAAATACTGATGTTAGCTCTGTCGACCTTGTCTAATTATTATAATTTATTCTAATCGCCACATCTGCTTCAATTCAGCCATTATATTTTCATAAACATTCTACTCTAATTAATATCGTTTCTACCTTGGCCTCAGTCTTCTAATTTATAATTGTATAATATAATTTGGAGTAGCAAATTAAATCCAATATCATTAATTTGTATAATGTTTATTTTAGGCAAAATGAATTTAATGATCGCTGTGCCGGGTAATTTTTTTTCATTTAAATTGAAGTTTCCAACGGGATTCACATTGTCTTGAATATACATTCGAGAACGTTTCTCCTCAGTTTACTAATTCACATGCCTTCCAGTTAATAATAGAATAGAAAATAAATGCAGTGTTTATTTCAGAGCACATACATATTGCGAGCACTATACCGGGTAAAAATTTGCATTGCATATTTTGGAAATTTGTTCACAAATTCTTTATGCATTCAAAATGTTCGTTTTTATTTTATAGGATTAAAACCCCTCAATATTAAAGAAAGTAATCACATTTTAATATTTTATATTTACAATACTTTACCCATATTATGCATTATTTATATTATAAGTTTCTATATTAAAAAAAAAAAAATATGTACAAAATTAAAATAAAATTTGTTTAAATAATTTTAGAATCCACATATTACCAATGTAGGATGTCACTAGAAATAGAACACGTGTTAAGTAAATATAAAATTTAAAAAACTGATAATTACTTATTTGTAGTTCTAGAGAAAAACTTCTATGGACAACTGATTTAAGCTGAACGTTGTATAGTAGCTATACGTTTCAAGTTTAAGCTTATAATTATCACTCAAAATACAATGTTTAAGTCGTTTATTCCAACCTTTAGATAATATAGAGTCTAATGCTTATACAATATTTTTAATTATTTTTTTTATGTACTTAATATCAGTTTTAGAGTAGTTGTCATTGCTAAAATAAAAAAATCCGGGTTTTATTAACTGTTCAGTGATTTCATAATATATGTATTTGTTACAGATATTCCAGTTCCTCAAATTATTGAAAACCAAAGTAATTACAAATTTTTCGATGGATTTAAGCTTGTTTAAGAGTTCAATTTTTTTTACTGTTTTATATTTAACAGTAATTGAAATTAAAATAAACTTTTTATTCGAGCAATTCATTTTTAATTTTTATTATTTTTTATAAATACGGTTAGTTAAAAATTTTCGCAGATTTTGGAGACTTAGATTTGACAGAACTTGCGGAAGAGAGAAGACGTCTTACTGGAACAGCATTAAAAAATATAATCAGGCGTGCTCTAGGTAAGGAGTAATCGTGTAGAGTTATAAAGGATTTAAACTATTAATATTACATTTATATTTTTTAAAACATTTTATATCGTTGGCCTACTGAAATAGGTAATTTATAAAAACAGTTCTGATCAAATTACTATAACTACAGTTGTTTGAAATATAATGCAATGATGTGTCACAAGCAACACATTTCCTTTTTTTATTTATTATTGGTCATCATCACGGTTATTTATGATTTTTTGCAGATTTTGAATATTTAATCAATCTTATTGAAGAGAGAAGGGTTAATCCTACAGGAACTGTAAGGAATCGAATCACTAGTGCATCAGGTAAATGAGTTGTCATGGTATACATATAGTATATATATACCATATACAAACATACCAATGAAAATAATTGATTTATAAAAACATTTTTGATTCAATAATAATAATAATAAAGATAAAACTTAAAATCTTAAATCTTAAAAAAACATTTGCTAGGGATAGACCAAATATATATATATATATTTAAAATTATTTTTATATTAGAAAAAACGATTAAGAGGGATATGGGCAGAACTTTTCAAAGTACACTTTTTTCTTAAATTTTTTAGATAGCTATGCACATGGTGTTTGTTACCAGTGCACTGTATTACGGATGTGTCGTTTGATAGCATTGTTCATGAGTACAAAATTCCCAACATCATACATACAAAATCTTGAGACTGGCTCAAATAGAACTTGTACCATATGGGATGGAAATACACACAAAACATACAGAAAAGTTGATGGCAAATGGTGGCAAGTGAGCGTCAATGACATAAACAATAAAGAACAATTACTTAAGGAACAGTTAGAATAGTTTAGACCAAAAATCAATGGTTTAATTCTTCTAATATTGTATAATTTTATTAATATTTCATTTAAATTACATAATAAATGGCTTTACTTAGCATTATTATAACATTTATTGATTCAAACAGATAATTTATGCTTTTTACTATATTTTACCGACAGATTCGTTTGGAAGCATTTTTAAAAATTAAAAACTGATTATCTTCGGCGTTTATCCCCTTCTGACGCCATTTTTTTTTCATTTTCTATTTTTAGTAATTTTCAGATCATTCCACACTATATAGGCTAAATTGTATACCGGCTTACATTTAACCGAACGACTTAAACAAACCAAACAGTACAGTATTATATGTTAAAGCGTTCTTCAGAATTAAAATTAACATTGACCACGTGAGCATATTCAATATAAATAAAACGATATGTAATAAAACGCACTTGGAAACATATTGCATACCACTTATATAAGATCTAATACAAATGTAGAAGCACGAACAAATGTTTCTACTTTGTTACAACGATGGCGATGGTACAATTTAGGACAAAAGTTGCACATTTTTGGAGTAATTCTTGAACACCGAGAAATGATGATTATATTAAGTGTATAAAAACTCATATGATACACGTTATTATATTACATATAGAAAGTATTATTAGCCAGTTACTCCTAATTCGATTGTCAGTCGGATTAATCTAATTATAATTAAAGATGGGCTAGTGGTTATACCAGATTGTTGAATATCAGAGATTAAAGACCATAATCCAGAAATAAACGTACAGTGGGGCCGGTAAAGTGATTTTATCCGAGTAAGCCAGTACAGTGGGAACAAAACATAGTGGGGACGAGATGTCTACAAGAATAATTATTTAAAATAAAAGTGATCAAATCATTTTGAAATAAATGCTTTGGTGCTAATTTGTAAACACTGCACTTGTAACTATACATATAACGAACGTTGTTCAAATCATAGTATTTCAATAATTATCGTTAAAGTAGTTTCAAAAATCAATATATTTAAAACGGTTGAAACATTTTAGTAAGACCATATTAAATTAAAAAAAAAAAACCATATTCGGTACTTTCATAAAAAAATTAGTTTTTATTTATTTATTAAAGTACTGTTTGTTCCAAAATGTTGTCATTGCCAATAGTTGGGTCGTACAAATTAAATTTAAATTGTAATTCTCTAATATAAATATTAGATATATGAGTGATTGTGTCGTATACAAACTTGGTTCAATACACGAAAAACACACTCGAATAACGCTTGTATTTTAGGTCTAACCTGAATATTATTTATTTACTTACTCCAAAGTATAAATATAATATACCATCGGCACACCTTGACCTAGAGCTAAGTATGAAAACTTAGTTGAGCCAATGACTGATCCGTACGTTCTTTATTGAGTTTAGAGACAAATTTATAATAAAGAAACCTATCATAAATTAACTCAGTGACTATTGTTTTAAATTACATCTTTGTAATGATTAAATTAAAATGAAAAAGGTAACTCTTTTTAAATGTAAAATAATAATAACTTTAAATGATTTACACACAAACAAAATATAATTTGCATTCAAACAAAGTTAAAAGTACACAAACAGAAACAAACACCCCACGTATAAGCGCTTATATACGAGAGAGTGATCATTCTTCGGGCTAAGCCCAAAAGAGTGCCCCCGACATAACAATGAGTGCGGCTTTAAATAATAGAAATAAATATAATTTTCGCTGTATAAACATTAACCGTTTGCCATTAGGCCTAGATGTATTGCTTAGTTTCATAATAATACCATTTTTCCTCGCTCCAACTACAATATTTTCACCATAAATCATATTCAAATTAATGAACCAGCTGTGTGCAAAAAATTGAACATAGGTGCACTGCAAAAACTTATTTAGTTTCTATTTTTTCAACGAAATGTGAGCACGTCTTTAAATCACAAGAAGATTATTTTAAAACATTAACATTGAAAAGCTGATCAAGTTGGTGATTGTTTGAGAAATTCAGTACAAAATTTTAAGTAAGCATTACTATCAATCTCCAAAAGTAGTAAAATTATTATTAGGTCTATCATAACTTATTACTAATGTCCTGTAATAACTAATATACAAACCTACTAAAAAGATCAAAACTGTTGTTTAAAAAAACTTGAAGCTTGAAAATTATTAAGAGCACAAAGTATACCTAAAAGCTAATTTTAATAACAATATTTTATAAAACGTTAAATATTTTTGTCAATTACCTTTTTTATTTTGTTTTTTGAATTATTTTACAAAAAGCAATACAAATATTTAACAGACTACAAGTATTGATTTTGGCTTTACTCATTATGATGAGCCAACTGAAATTTCGGCATAATTTATTACCTTTCAATTTCGATATTGATTTTGCTACTTAAAAAAAAATCAACTTAGCGGTCTTAAAATTGTCGTGGGCTGGTAAAATAAAAACATATGTTATATCTATCATAAAGAAACCAAGGCCTACTCAACTATGCAAAGGAGGCCACTTTGAATAACATATTTTAATTTTATGTTTGTTATTATTTGCAGATAAAAATGCAACTTATGTGTTCTTCGTTACTAGTTGTCTTTGCAACTGTTTCGGCATTTCATGATCTAAGTAATTATTTTATATTTATAATTAGTTACTCATGAAAGTTAAAAATTTGAAATAATAAAATGTAATATACTACTTTTTTACAGCGTTTTATAAGAAGTTGGTGGCAATTGCAAGTCAGTAACATTTTTGTTTAATAGAAAATAGTTTTTTTAAGTTTATTAAGTTTACTGATTTTATTTATTTTTATTTTATTTTACAATGAGTTACAGACGCAACCATCAACCTTGCTTATAATAAACGGATTACTATAGGAGATAATATTGAATCAAGTAAGATACATTTACATATAATATGCTAACACATAAATGTTTTGCTATGTACACCCAATAATTGTCCAGCCATTTGTAAATTAAAATCTATAGTTTCTACTTTCTATGAATATTTAAGTAAAGTAGACGCGATATGAAGAGCCAGTGTATTGAACACTGTGGAAATACTAACGTTGTAAAAATTAAATCATTTACTTACTCTTATTGTTATATTTTAACTTTAAAGTAGCGTTTTCTATGATTTACATGAGGAAATTTCGTATTAGGCAACGACTACTTAACCTAATAGTGGGAGAAGTGTTAAGTTATAACGCCACTGCTCAACGCACTGTTTAATCTTGTTCTAAAGATTTTCATACCAAATTTCAATTTATTTCTATCTTTTATTAAAATAAAATCTTTATTTTATTTTTTTTATTCTAGATGGATTGGAGCAAGTAATTAAAATGATCGTTGATAATGAACATAGATATAATTTAGGTAGTTATAATTATAAATTAAATAAAAGTAGAATAAGTATTTGAAAATAATTGTATGAAAATTACAACTCAAATTCACCTTGACGGAATTCACAAAACGTTGTATAAGTATTAAATTCTAAAGTGAATCTTTATGAAAAATACTTATACTTGCGCTGACAACCTGGTTTAACTTTTGTATTTTATTCTAAATGCCACATCTGTTTCAATTCAGCCATAATATTTTCAAAGAAATTCTAATCTACTTAATAAAGTTTTTTCTACCATGACCGTCGTCTGGGCATTGTAATAATATAATTAAAACTTTATAATAGCAAATTAAACACAGTATCATTAATTTATGTAATGTCCATTTCAGGCACGATGAACTTAATGATCGCTGTACCAGGTATTTTTTTTATTGAGTCTTATGAAAATATTTACAATATCTCTTTCTCGTTGAGGTTTCCAATGAGATTCCAATTATGTTGGATATTCGAGCATATTATTTCACCACAGTTACTAATGCACATTGAGTCAAGCTTCTTGTTTATAATAGACTAGACAATTAATTGCAATATCATAAAAATATGTATTGTTAATTTCAGAAAAAATCAATATTGGGTACGGCTTACCGGGTAATACTTAATCATTGCATATTATGGAAGTATTTCCACAAAGTTATTTGTTATTCTTATGCACACAAGGTTTTCGTTTTAATTTTAGATTATGAAAACCGCGAAGTCATGGAAAGTAATGACTATTCTATTTTTCATATATTTTATATCACTTTCAATCTTAAAACGTTTATACTTTAAAATATATTTTGTCTACATTTTAGATTTCACATATTACCAGGCCATACTAACAAAAAGAATAAAAACGTTATTAGGTAAATAAAAAATTAAAAAAAAAATGATTATTGTTTAATTGTAGTTCTAAAGATAAACTATACAAATTGGATTAGGATCATTGGATTACAGCTGTATCTTATATGCATCAGTTGTCTGGTCTAATTAATCTCAGTTTTACAGTGATTTTTATTAATAAAAATATATGGAAACCTAGTTTTTTAACTGCATAATGATTTGAACGGTAATGAATTTATTACAGATATCGATGGTCCTACAATTGACGAAGAGCAAAGTAATTAAAAATTGTTTGAAATTCTTAAACTTAAAGCCTTTTAATCTTGTTTAGAGTAAAAACTTTTTTTTATTCATTTCGATCGTCATCGTATTAAAGTTATTACAGTAATAATGTCTAACAAGTTTTTTGAGTGTAAATTATATAATGAATATATTCTTTGAGTTTAAGTACTAAAAACTGGCTGATTCTACTAAACATTTTTTTATCACAGCTATTAGAAGTGTAACACAATTCTATGTATCACGAGCAATTTATTTTTTACTTGTATTTTTCGTTGTCAACACGGTCATTTAATGATTTTCGTAGAGTTTGAAGACTTAGATTTGAAACAACTTGCAGAAGAGAGAAGAAGTCTTACTGGGATAGCCTTAAAAAATATAATCAGACGTGCTATAGGTAAATATTGATATGTATATATATATATATATATATATATATATATATCTCATCGTATATCACGCAGATTTAGTTTATTTCTACTGTATCAAAGTTACAGACTTCACTCAGTCATTTATTCCTCTGCTTAATGCTCCTGATCAATTGTATTTATTTGATAGTAATAAGCACAATAATTAAAATAAAGTTAACTTTGTTATGGACACTTAGAGTGAGACTTAATAACAGCTATTCGTAGTTATTATATTTAATAATGCTTTAATACTAATCGCAAGATGTACACAAAATGAGTATTATCACAGTTCTTCAAAATGCAATGCAAACATTTACCTATCAGGAGCAACTAATTATTATTTTATTTTTATTTACATAATTATTTATTAAATTTGTAGACTTTGAAAATTTGGCCAATTTTGTTGAAGAAAGAAGGATTAATCCTACACAAACTTTAAAAATTAAAATCGCAGGTATGTGTTAATATAAAGTCGTCGTGGTATTTATGTATACACATACATATAAATATATTGTATATATATATACAAGCCGGTGAAAATTATTGATTTAAAAAAAATATTTCTGTTTCAAAAACAATAATAATAATGCTTAAAACGTTCTATAGTAGACATAAATATCCAATTTATACAGACTACTTTTTATTACTGTAAAACGCACATTTAGTTTTTTTACTAGTTTAAAATTACAAAACTTACACAACACACATATCTATATATTCTTTTACAAGGTATTTAATAGGAAAAAAACACTAAAATATAATGAGTATACAGCTAATTTTTATTTTTAAGAAAAAACCAAGTAAGTAATTTTTACAACATAAATTTGTATTTTTATGATATCTAGTTACACCATGCATATTCTATTATTGTTTTAAGACTTTTTTTTTACAAATAATGTAATTGTGTCTAGAACTATAACGAAATGTAGTAGCTAGTAAAATAATGTTGGCATACTAAAAAAAAAAAATGTTGTTTTCATTTTTTAGATAGATATAAACATCGTGTCTCTTTATCGGGGATGTGCCGTTTGATAGCATTGTTAATGAGTACAAAATTCCCAAGATCATGTATTATAGAATATAAGACTGACTTTATAAGTACGTGTACCCTATGGGATGGAACTACAAAATATATATACAGAGAAATTGAGAGCACATGGTGGCAAGTCAACGTCAATAACATAAATAATAATGTAAAATTACTGAAGGAAGTGTTAGATTTAGATCAGAGATCAATTGTATGATTGTTCTAAAATTATATAATATTATTGACAATTTGCTTAAATAAAATGTTCATATTGCGCTAATAAACGAGTTGTCATTTAATTTAATGTATTTCACAATAATGAGTTTCCCGATGACTTTCTGAGTTTCAGGTGGATTGTCGGTTGCCATTGCTGTACTTTCCTAGGTTAAAGAGGTACCTTGGATATTCTAGCTTTACTATTTTTTTTTTGTGTTTGATTACTATTGAGAGTGTTGCTCAACATTTCTGAGTCTTACCCATTGCAGGCAGCAATCTACAGAGAAGCAGTCACCGTTGATCCACTGTCAGGGCTATTTACTGATTTATTTATTAGTTAATATTTTTTACTCAAAAATAAACTAACCTAAAACACTAATTGATAACAATAGATAACGCTCCTTTTCATGTGCACACCGCACACGGTATTCGGTGGTTTAAAATAAAAAATATGGAATTTATTCCGTTTGTCCACACATAAATCCTGATAATAGTATTAAGAATACTCAATATGCTTAACCAATAAAAATACAAGTAGATGTTTCATAAGAAGAGGCAAGAAGACTCAGACCTCACCTTATTTTGTTATATATTAAATATAATAAAATTAATATAATTTTATGTTTTGTATACTTATAACTCAAATTGAAGTAAATTTTTTAACGTTATTGTTGTAGAGAATGGTTTTAGATATTAAGAAGTAAATAATATGAAATTTATTAATACATATTTTATAAGTGTTGTAAAACTCTTAATTTTTTATTAGGTTTCTGCGATTTTTTTTTTTAACACGCTTATATTAGCTTCACTTGTATGTATGTATGTATGTATGTATGTTTGTATGTAACAATGTAACTAAAAGAGATAGGCAACCGAACGTACATGCGTGTATTCATTGTTGTTTACCTGAAGTTTTCAAGTAATAGAGACACGTATGTACTAGAATTAAAAAAACACGGTTTTAAAGCACATCGAACTAAAAAGTGGAAAATAAAAAAAATATAGTTTAAAAAAACTAAAAAAAACGTTTAAATAGTAAAATAAACTAAAAAGTAGAAAATAATTTTCAATATAGAAATCAATAAATAAAAAATAAATAGTATTATTGTGAAAAAAGCGTGGGGTGTTACATATATCAGTTCTTGAAAAGCGCCCCACACTTTTTTCACAATAATACTATTTATTTTTTATTAATTGATTTCTATATTGAAAATTATTTTCTACTTTTTAGTTTGTTTTACTATTTAAGCGTGTTTTTTAGTTTTTTTTAACTATATTTTTTTTTTTTTGCTTTTATTTGTAGAGGACCATTTACTTTGTATCAACTGTGACTTAATAGACTCTATATTCAGCTAACTATGTAATGTTGACAAATTAGTTTTTATCGGTTCATACAAATTGATAATGTAATCATCAAACTAGGTCATAAATGTTCTACTCTGTAATACAAGTAAAAACCGGAATAAAAACAACCGATTTTGCATATGAGATTTAAAAATAATATGTGAAACAATATACCATCCATTGTATGAATTGATTTCATTTTGGAGCAGATAAGAGAGTGCGACAACATAGCGTTCGGGTGATTGCTTTATAATATTAATTATGTAGTTATTTAAAGATTTTTACTAACTTCCAACTTTTTTTTTTTATTTCACATTTCTTATTGTCTTAAGCGGAATGTATCATTCCGAAATGCACACAACAGTATTATAATAGCATTACTTAATTATTGATATTACTTAATTAGAATTACTTGTATAGTATTATGATACTGTAGAAAAATATAAAACTACCAGCTATTGCTAGCCTTTTGTACTTACCAAATCTTTAAATGTATCCAACTGGAGGTTATCTGTTGATATTTCGTGCTGTCTGTTAACACGTTATCTGAAATCTGAAATGCACACAATAATGTTAATGTTACACTAATTAGTTCGTATTAATTAGTCACTCATTGATAAGAATTTTAAGTACTATTACTTAATTAGTATTAACTTGTTTAGTATTAAACTACCAGCTAAATGCTAGCCTTTTGTACTAACCTCATTTGGATTTCCATCATATTCCATTTGGGGTTTATCAACCTCACCGCGTTTGTTCTAAAATGTACACAACAGTATTAACACTTTTTTGTTGTTATAACGCGATATGGGAATAATCTAATTTAATGCTCACGGGTATTTTTTAATTTTTTTTTTATCAAAATGTGTGCTTTTTACGCCGATGAAGTCAGATTTGGTCGTCAATTGGCACCCAACTTGTTTCTCTACGACCACCCAATTTTTCAGTCGCTTTAGAGGTGTGCCAATTTTTTTAGTGTTTTTCTTTTTAACGAAAAGTTTTTTTTAAATATTTATGTGTGTATTCTTTAAGGAAAATAGGATTTCTTGTTTGATTTTTTTTTTTGTGTTGACACTTTTCCTACAGTTTCTTTGAATCTTTTCCAAGGATTTCTTTTGGAACATTTCAACTTTTGACAGATATTGTGTTTCGCCAAAATTGTTTTATGTAGTAAACGGAACAGTAGTAGAGACAATTTTTTTTAACTAGACATTTTTTTAGGATTAGGTTTATTTATCATTTTCCTTACTTATGAATTTTATATAAATTAACTAAAATCGATTTTCTTATTATTTAATATTAATTTTATGACAAATTAAAATTATAAATTACATTAAAATCTTGAAAATTAAACTAAATTGAATGGATAGAAAAATCATTGAAATGGAATTAGAATTAACAAAGATTTTTGGCATTCGTTTTAAAGTGATTTTATTTATAATAATTTCTGTAGCCTTGTGACTTCTCCGTCCCACTATGCTTTGATCCCATTATGCCTCGAACCCAATGTACTGGCATACTCGAATAAAATTATTTAAAAATAAATGCTTTGATCCTAATTTGCAAACACTGCACTTCACTGTGTGAGTTTATACTGTGCTTGGTTTGAAAATACTGCGCCCAATCCCACTATGCTCTGTTCTCACTATGCCCTGACCCCACTGTACTGGCTTTTTTATTGTTTAAATTTTTAAAAAATGTAAATGGTCCCTTACAAATAAAAGCACACACTTTTACAAATATGCACTAATATACGCAAATTACAAATATACATTTTGTAAAACCTTTTTTTTATAGTTTGTGAATTTATTTTTTACAATTCCAATTTACTAGCTAACAATTATCTGTACATACACAGTAGATATACATACAATTCATTACCTTACGTTTAAGTAAATACCATTTTTTTTTTTTTTAATTTTTATACCAATTGTATTGTACTTTTTAGTAATTTTTGCAGTCTTTGTTATATGTATTAAAGTACAATTGTGGAATGGTAATCATACAGCAAGAGTTAATTAAATTAATAGGTTTTTTGGTAAGCAATTGAAAAACATCACAACTTTGACAAGTAATTATCTAAAACAAAACCATAAGGAGTACCCTTTTTATAATTAAATAACTTGCGTAAATCTTAGAGGAATTTATAAAGTATAACAAGTGGTTTATATAAGTGTATTATATTAATTAAATCCGATGAGATATTGAGTGGATCACGTTAAAATGCCTACCCTGTATAATATGCAATACACAATATTTCGTCGAACTCGTATTTAGACAAGAGTTGGTAAAAAAATTGTTTTGTCTAGTATATTTTGCCATTGGTTATTTTAAGTATGGGAAAATGTTGAGAGTTATATTTGCGCTTACAACAAGGGCAACTCGAAATTGTATTTTTGTCAACGATTTAATCAAATAAACCTTAATATACAACGTGTTCATTTTCAATAAGTTTGCCATCACTGAATGCAAATATAAATCGACATTTTATATGCATTTTTGAACATCTAATATAACTTACAAGTATAACATATAATTTTGGAGAAAAAAAACTGACAAATATATTGGTTCAGCGTTTACAAAACTATCTTGAGCCTATGTAGTCTCATTAAGTAAAAAAAAGATATAAGCTGACAGAATATTAACTGACTAATAGTATAATATTGGAAAAAAAAATTCTTATTGTGGCACATTAGACATTGTGATTGTCTTGTGATTTTTATTAAGAAATCATTTCCTTCAGTTTACCATGTAAGGAAAGTGTGAGAATAATAACTAATACCATTGAGTATAATATATTGTATATACTCAATGCTAATACTTTGTACCAGTAGTTTTACAGTGAAAGAATAATACCCCAATAATCTTTGAGTTGTCGAGTGTTACATACTCTAGTCGAACAAACAGAATACTACTTCTTAAACGCTGGCTTTGTTATTTGAATACATATGAATAATAACTGTAAATACTATTTTCATACCCTGTATAATATTGTGCTTAAATGTCTCCGACAAAATGCAATAAAATAAAATAAAAAAACCAGAATACTAAAAAAACACCTGTTAAAACAACCTCTGTTCGTCTACATCAAACCCTAATCAAACTGCCACTCTTTTATAAATAGTAAAATTTACAAAAACACCACGGTATACAATTTTTTAGCAACGTTTTCCAACAATATATATATTAATTTTTTTCCCATTTATTAACGATCCAACCGAGAATTGTATGGAGAACAACTTGTTCATTCTGTTCCCGAGCACAACCTCAACTGTGATAAATAAAATGGACTTGAAGATAACCGTTTTGTTAATTTCGCATTTTTTATTTGTTGCTAACTCTGTGCTGGGCATGGGTGCATACACCGAGGAAGAGGTAATTTTTTGTGTAATTATCATAGACAATAAATACTTAAGCGTATAGTTCTATTATAATAAGTATTGGTCAAAGATTTACTTCAGTCACGGCTTTAATGCGTTTTTGTTTCATAGATTGGCAGATTGTTGTCTTATAAGTTTTACTGGTATATCGGTAGTATAGCTCAATTGGCCAAGTGATATAGAAAAATAAATACTCAAAGTTAAATACTATATATTTCCCATTAGTAAAATTATCTATAAATCAAATATTAAAGTAAAATTTTGATTTTTATAAAATATGATATTAATGGGACAAGCTATTTTTAAAGTATTTAAGTTTCGAAGCGGAGCTGAATACTTATTAGAACTGCCTCTATCCACAAATGGCTTCAAATAGAAATTTCAATAACCCTGCAACCCCCCCTCCCAGGGTCTCAAATTTTTACTTATTTTTTTTTTTAATTTTAAGCCTAATTGTAAGATTTAAAAATTGAAAAATTTGAATGAAGATAGGTCTAACATATAAATATATATATATTATATAACATTTATAAACAAATTCAAAATCTCAAAAGTATGGATTTCGAAAGCTATTTTAGGTTTCTTTACTTGAAATTTATTGTACATTGTATTTTGCGTGTATTTTTGTTTAAGCTTACAACATTTAAAAAAATTCGAACCTTTTTATTTAAAGGCATAAAATTGACAACACCCCTTTTCCCCACGCCTCAAGTATATGGTAAAATTAAAAACTGATATAAAACTCGAAATCAGTGACCCCGAAAATACATAGTTTAATAGTCTTTTATATCAAAAAAATTTTTAAAAATATTTCAGCGTAGATGTGGGGCCGAAAAGGTGTTGGTTTTTACAACGATGTGTTATTTGTTTAAATATAAGTTAATATCAATTCGAAACCGATAAATCCAAATATTTTAAATGAACATTTTATTTTATCGAATTAACGTACTATGAATTTAGCGCATTTCAGTGTTTATTGTTTGGTCATCGCTTATTCACCAGTACCGTCCATTAAGTACGGTCTTAAAGAATATTTCAAAATATTATTCATTAGCAGTATTGCGAAAACGCATACAGATTATTTCCAATAACTCATTGGAAACTCAAGGTATCGTTGTTTTTGATATTTCATATATTTTTTCGTGTAGGTAGACAAGTGTTCCACGGTCTATAACCTTTTTTGAAAATATAAGACAACTTAAATAGAATAGTGAGGGGAATAAAACGCTCTTAGTACTCACAAGTATTGTATGAACAGTGTATGAAACGCAAATAATAAAAAAAAAAAAAATCGCTAGATTTTCAAACGGCATTTGTACCGAATTCTCTAACGAAAATTTAATACAATTAGAATTTACACAGCGATGCTATGGTTTTTGCCGTCTACATATGACTTCTTTTTTTTTTTTTTGTCGACACACGTAGAAACGTGTAGACAAGAATTCATCTGATATCGACAATTTTTTAATAAACAAAGAAAAAATCACCTTTTTTTATTTTGCTCTTAGATAAAAATGTACTAATAATACAAATTGAGTTTGAAAACGCAGCACCGTGGCATAGTAGTTAGTTCATTAGATTTACTTACCGCCAGTCTTAATTTTCAGACCTCGTGTGGTTAAAAAACTACACTGGAAAAAATTAAATAAAGAAAACGTTTCCGATCCTTCCGATCTAGAGTGGGGCTAAAGCATAACATACAATTTTCTTAAAACTTTTTTTTTTTTTAAAGAAAAACAAAATGAAAAATTACACTTTGACTAAATTCAAATTCTAGGTTGCTACGTGCGAGTGAATCAACAGTCAACCAGTATTATGAAAATATTCTCATTATATTGTTAATTACGATACATGGGTTACTATGGCAATCAATTTTTACAGACGGACGATTAACATTAGCCGTATCCACACTAATACTGATTGTACATTTTCAAGCACATAATTGTCATTAGGTTCAAAGCTTTTATCGATATTTGTATTTCTACCATTAGAACTTCATGTCGAAACGTTTTTTTCAGAGTGATTTCACAACTTTCAGTTGTAATAATTCATATAGACTGTATAGATTTTTTTTAAATTTAGTATACTAATATTACACTCACATTTAAACCATATCCTGTAAATTTCAAGTTAATAAACTCAAAATAGCTATTAAAATAAACGTCTTAGATAGGGGTCAGATATTCCTTCGGTATTATAGCTGACCTCTTGATAATTCGTTCTTATTTAGAAAATCGGACTTATAGAATCAGATATGGTAATTCCGTATCATCGTATCGCCAAATTAAAGCAAGTGTGCCCCAAGGCCTAAGTGACCTCTCCCCTGTTGTATTCAATGTTTTAACGGCTGACATTCCAAAAACACCAAATACTATAATGGCCATTTATGTAGATGACACTGAAATACTTTCCCCCAAAAATTAAGTTTCAATTTTCTCCAAACACACTTAAATCTAATTGATAACTTGTCATCAAAATGGAGAATTAAAATGAATCCTGAAAAATCAGTACACGTTCCTTTCACACTAAAAAAATCCAATCCACCCACTCCCCAATTCCAAGGTATACCTATCCCCGGTATCCCATCCCGATATCTTCGGAAGTCAAATATCTAAATGTCAATTTCGACAAACGATTAACTTGGGATCCTTACATCAAATCAAAAAGGAAAGTCCTTATCAGCAGACTCTATTTACTAGTTACTACGCCCAATTCTTAAATAAAATCTTGCTTTTCATACTAATATCATTGTATACAAATCCCTATTAAGACCTATTTGGGCCTATGCTATCTAAACTTGAGGTTGTGCAATTAGCCACAAAATACTACAAAAAATTGCATTCCAAATTACAGACTCACTCAAACCCTTTAATATCACAACTCATTCGAATAAGGATTTTTTTATTTTGTTCGCTGAATGATAATAATAAAAAAAAAACAAATTACAGATTCTTCAATTAGCTTACGGAGATTGTCAAACCATGTATGGATTAGAGGAACACCGCACTTTGACAAAAAAACAATTTATTGCGTTTGTGGGTGACAACGATGTCAATACAGAAGCTGTTGCTGCTTTCTTTCGGACATCAAACGCTAATCGTGAAGAAGAAAGTAACCATTTATTAAACTTCTTTTGTCATTAAGCAATGTTTTTTTTTAGCTTCAATGAAACTTCAAATTTTAATGTAAAGTTTTAGAGCTTAATATCTGAAAACTAGACCGAAGGTTGATCTAAAATTGAGTTATAACATATACAGAGTTCTTGAAAATCTATCATCAACTTTTTTTTTCTTACCAAAAAGAACCCTCCCCCCCCCAAAAAAAAATGGAGAACCACACTTAGATTGCATTAAATTTCTAGGTCGCTATGTGTGATTGAATCAACAATCAACCAGAAATAGAAAATATTTTCTTTATATCATCCAATTACACTAAATGGGTTACTATAAATGAATATAGATAGACAATCCCAAATCCATACCCTAATCGTATGTACCCTAATACTGAAAATACACTTTGAAGCACTTTATTATCATTAAGTACAAAGATTGTATCATATGCATTTGTAATAATTCATATAGACCTGTGACCTCTTCCGCCCTAATATTCTTTGTACATTTTTAATAAAAATATTATATTAATAATGTTGTATTTATTTTCTTTTAGATACCATAAACTATGTTCTTTTTAAAAACCTTGTAAAAGAAGTTTGCAGTGCAAATCACACCGATGTAATTACATTCATTACTACCAGATGGGCAGAAATCGATGGTTCTCGGGAACAAGAGAATACTACAGAAAATATTGTTATCTAATCATAATATCCTATTTATGTTAAAACCAACCCGTTCTTTTGAGTTCAGTATGGTTCATACATTAAATATACTACTAGTATTTAAATTTTGTCAAAAATTTTACAAAATAATACAAACAATTCTACAGTGTGCGAAATTGTAAAATGTTAAGTTTTATCAATATACAATGAAAATATGTTTAATATAAAATTGTTGAAATTAACTCATTTATTTTAGTATAAAGACCAATGAGGATAATGTGTATAGTACATGGTGTTACTTGTGTAATATGTATAAATGAACAATAATAACATATTATACGGTCAGTCGGTCAGTCTGAAATTGATAGGAAGGTATGTGAAAGCATAACTGTCCACAATTTCACTGAAACCATTTTTGTTAGTTTTTTTTGTTGCTAGATACACTGAAAATTTGGTAGGTAATATTACATATGAATTTTTATCTCATTCGTTATTATCTTCAGGTAAAAATGTAGTCTTGTTCTTAAAATTGTATACATATTTTATAAAGATGTTTGAAACATTTTCTATTTTATTAATTCATTCGAGAAAGTATTTGTTGTTCGATTGTTATAGTTTTAATATTAGTGCGATTAAGTAAAAAATGCTATCAAGTAACAAGTGTTTTTTTTAAAATATTTTTTTATGCAATGCGTACATAGTTTTATCCATAGTTAGTTATATTCATTTGTATGAACTATAGTTCATAGTTAGATCCAGTAATATTGAGTGGCCCTAAATTCCAGTTATTGTGACTGAGTTAGAGGCAAATACATATATTTTGCCTTGTACTGGTGCACGAAAATTATTCGCAGAGTATTATTGCAGTATAGATTATAAGAATTAAACAAAATAGTTTTAATGTGTAAAAAAAAAAATTGTAAAACCTAACAGCTGAACAAATACAATGATTTTACATCGGTGCTAAAAATGACAATATGTATATCTGGTTATCGACCAGTCTCAGAAGATTATTATTTCTAATAAAATAGCTATCATGAATAAAAAAAAAAAATCTTAAGAATAATACTTGGAAAAAAGTTATTTCATTTGTCGTATCATTGTGAAGCACCTTGTATAATAATAAAATTTGGTATTTTTGTGTTTTCTGCGTAGACACATAAGTCATAAAGAAGTACCTATTGCAGTGCAGGATCGTGGAAAACATTTTTGTGTAAATAATAAATTCTTATTATATTAATAGTTTGTAGCATACCCAACAGCTGATATCTGTTTTTATGTTGTTTACATTGCTACAGGCGTTATGAACAGCTATTTTGTTATACTAAAATGTAATAAAATGGAACATAATATTTTGGTTTGGTAAAAAATTGTTATAGTTAACTTTTGTGTGACCTTCGAAATATTAAACTGAAAAATATATTGTTCGTTGTATTACATTCCAATATAATATTATAATATAACTATTATACGTGTAGTGTACTGTATCATACATGCATGACGACCTCTTGTATCAAGTATAACGATATTTTTAAAGGGTTGTGGTATTTCATTCGAATATCAAAAATGAAACAAGTCTCAGGTTTATTGCATAAAAAGAAATTGTATGTTTACACTTGGTCAACACAGTCAAAAACTAAATGATATGATGAAAATCAATTGATTTTTAACATTTTATTTTTTCATGTATATACGTTTCTCGCAAACCTATGATATTAAAATATGTAGCAACTGAAATTAAAAATTTGCAAAATACTGCAATAGTACGGTAAAACATATCAATATGTAAACCCGACACCCGTATGCACAGATGTATTGAACAAATATAAAAGCGACTTGTTCTTAACGGTATTTATACCGAATCATGGTATTAAACGTTTTTAATACTAAATTAGAACTTGAATAATTTCTCTGTAACGTACGTATTCGCTTCATGCGATTTTGTATTATATTTTAAAAATCATTAAATATCCCGTTTGATTATCACATTAGACCGAAACAATTGTCCAAGAAATAGTACCTAATGTAGTCATGCCGAGAAATATTTGTTCCAACTTGATGTGTTGAACGTTAACACTTTTTTTAATTAGCTAACTTAAAAAAACTACGACTGTAAAAATACTTAAAAAAATACACTTTAAAATACTAAAACTCTTTTAAAATTTAATAGAATGATAAAATAAGATGTTCTAGTCGTCCGATTCCATCACATTATTTATTGTTATTTTTAGTAACAGCAAATTAAAATTTCGATATTTAGAGTTTAACTGATTAAAAATGTTTTTTTCAGCAAGTGTTTTCTTAGGTTAATAAAAATTTGTATTTTACATAGTAGTTTTTCCTTCTCTTCTTCTTAGGGTTCTTCTCGGCCTTGTCGTCTGTTTCCCGGTCGGTGGCGGAGATCTTCTGCGGGTCTTCCAGAGGCTATGCAGGCGCATCTTTCCGGTCGTCAGAGCTCCCGCTACTCTCGGTTACTCGGTATCTTTTGGTGGCTCTTTTTGCACTCCGTCATTCTTGGGTACAGAATCCGTGGGGGCCTTGGTCAGGGGTAATATATCCAAATTTGTAAATGACTCACCCGCACCCGAAAGTTCCACAACCCACACCCGAAAGCTCAAAAACTACACCCCACACCTAGATGGCCATTAACAGGTCTTGACAGGTTTGTTTTGTGCTGGTCTATAACAAGTTGCGACGCGTATACTTGAAGAACTCTATCAAGATTAAACTCTATACATATTTACAACAAGTAACATAAGTATTATCCCTCAGGGGAACGCTAATCTAGCGTGACGGGTATGGCGAACCCGGGGCCCCGAGCTATGAACTGGACTTGCTTTAATTAGCTGGTCCATTTCTCTCTACTCTGACCTTAATTGGTTGGAGTAGACTGGCCCTCCAAATTGGGGGTTAAGCGCAGAGCTAACGACCCTGCCTTGTAAAAAAAACTAACGTTCAGGACTCAAACACCAAGCCTCGGACTAGGGAGGGGTGTTTGACGGGATGGTCCTAGCGGCCGTTTGCCCGAAGAAGAAGAAGAACATAAGTATTAACATTGAATAGATTATGAAATTCATATGCAAACATTAGTTTCAAGGTATTCGTCATAACAATGTAAGTATGCAATCATTAAAAAAATAACCAGCTATGTAAATAATTAAACATAGCCACAAAATATATTAAGATTTAACTATTTCGGTCGACATATAAACCCATCGACAGTTGGTAAAAAAACCATAGTAAAACATTTTATCAAACGGTTTGAAATTTACTTTGTCTTAACAATTTAATCTTTTAAATAATAATATAATATAAGTAAACAGCTCTTTTCACCATTAAAATTTGTAAGTACGCATTTAATAAAATTGTATAACATGTATGTCCCCAATCCTATCGTCTCTTGCTCAATTCTTACCCTCTTTGTCCATTTTTCACAATTCGTATTTCATCTCAGATGAATAGTGACATTTCACACATCCTTTTCAACTGTGCCTCTCTCCTTCCCAGTCGTAAATTACTTTTTTCTCTTCTGTCTTCCATGGGTTACATTTGTCCGGATATCCAACTTCTTCTTAATTTATTCTCGTTTCCCTACCGTCATTTCTTCCATTTCTTCCATCATTTCCTTTATTTTAAAACGATAATTGATAATTTGTATACATTTGTTAATACCTGTTGTTATTAACTTATGTTTTTTTTTATTCAAGTTTTTTAAATTTTAAATGTGCTCAATGTAACGTTTTTTATTTGGAAATAACAGTATTTTTACAATATATATATTTTTTGTTGTCTTACTAAAACTTATACAACCTTAATGTTTTGTTAATTTCTATCCACTTAACAAAGGTAATAAAATAGATAGGTTACCATCTCACTTTAAAAACTAAAAGCAATAATTGTAGTCAAACTATTTCTACTTGAAAAAACTAAAAAAATCAAATTTACTGTCAATAAAATAAGTATTACTACTTTTTTCTTACTATCTGCAGTTCTGCATAGAACATTTTATTTGAAAATTACTTTATTAGCTTCATTTTCGTTAATTCTTGAAAATCTAGACTTGACCGTCCAAGTTTTAAAGGTGCGTAACAATCATATCTTAACCCAAACATGGTATTTTTTAATTTTCTTGGCTTTTCATTAAAAAAAAAAGTTTTGACAGTTCCAAAACATGTACAACATACAAATGTTTGCACCTCTTCCAATAGAAAAAGATAAAACGGGATTTAATTGATTTGAAATAAACAATAATTGCAATAGTTAATTTGCGTCAGTGTTTTTTAATAACAACTTTATGTTTGATACTATTTGCAGATAAAAATGATACTTTTCTGTGTTTTAATACCGTATGCTTTTGTGAATGTCTTGGCCGTTAATATAGGTAAAAATAATTATTTAATTTACACTTACCTATTCCAGTTAGTTAAGACAAAACTGAACTTAACTTTTTTCATAGATGAATATACTACAATGGTTGACATTACAAGTCAGTGATCTTTTTTTCCTACATAATAACTTTTATGTTTTCAAATTGTATTTATTTAAAATTTTAAAATTTGTAACTAAATTTAATTAATGCAGGTGGACATATCGAGGCTGCAATTAACAAGAAAATTGAGAATGAAACTTTGAGTAAGCCATTCTTACTATAATAATACATTGATTTATAATTTTTTTACTCGCTTATCAAATAATTTATAGAAATATATTTTTAAAGTAGAAGATTCTATAACTAACCTAAAGCCCATTTGGCTATAGTCAGTGAGCATTTTAACCTAACCGATTGATCAGTGCTTAAACATTGTGTACTTTTATTTTGGAAACTTTTATTTCGCTTATGATTTTATTTGAAATTGTTTTTATAGTTCTTACCGTTATTTATTTATTCTAGATGGATTCGAATGTACCCTTAGGAGCATTGTTCGTGGAAAAAAATATTCGTTCGGTAGTTATAACATCATAATAAAAACATAAAAATTATGCTTGAACTCCCAAACGTGATCCCATCACCGTTCCACGCGAGACTCAAGAAAGTATTAGATTAGATTTTTGTGGTCGTTCCAGAAGTCCAATCATAGCTGATAATTTAATTTATCTTCGGCGTTGTATAATTGCATTCCAAACAGGATTTTATACTTGGTCCTTCGATCTTGATTTAGATCAGTGATCTAAATTTGAAATTTTACTCTTAAATCTAAATGGAATCATTCTGACAAAAAAACAATGATTTTAGCTCTTTCAACCTAATCTTAAAAAATATTTTACTATCTTTCCTAGATTTTATATAAAATTTATACTCACTTTAATAAAATTATACTAAATACATGTTTATCGAATTATTCATTTTATAAGTTTGTGTTGTATAAAACAAATTTACAAATCTCCAGTCTTCTGATGTAATGTATAAAAAAATCCAATACAATTGAATAATATGTAATCAGTCTATGTTATTTTATTTTCAGAGAAAGTTCTTTTATTAGCAGAACCAGGTAATAATTTGCTTAATATTTGACGGCCATACAGTATATCCATACTATAGTTAGATTTTTCATAAGGTATAAAAATGATTTTTGTTTTTAATTTCATACCTTGTAGATCAACAAGTGCCTAAAGAACTGAAGCGTAATAAATAGACTTTCTAATGTCTAATTTAAACATAATTAATATGTATCATGATCAATCATATAGTTAAATGATGATTGTAACTATGGGATTTGATATACGTTTAACTTTAATTTATTTTAATTTTAGGATACATGAGCTTCTATAAAAAACTGCAAGACGAAATATCCAGTGTTACAGGTAAATTTAAAACTGCATTTATTTATGCGAACAATAGTTATAATCAAAATTGATTTAAATTATCACAGTTAATTTTTAATGAAACCGAAAACCATTAGATTTAATTCAAATGCATAACAAAATAATCCCCTGATTAGATAAACGATATTTTTCATATCTTTAATTTGAATGGGACTACAAGAAATAGTTTAAATTTAATTGAATAATTTACTATGAATAATTGGCTCAAGTTATTTTAGTTTTAATATAACCGTTTTAATAAAATATAAAAACTATATTGTATTCATGTATTACTACACTTTGATATTTTATATTTCCGTTGCAGGTCTTGCTAAACCTTCGCCAACTGAAGGTAAGCAAGCTTTTATTAAATTGTTGTAAATAGCCATTCAGACTTGGATTACCATACGAATTTTTTTAGATTAATCGATAATATTTTGTTGGATTTCTCCAAAGATTTTGAAAAAAATCTTTAATTTGTTTTATTATAATGAATGTCACGCCAATTCTTGTAGATGGGTAGTGCACACTTCTTACCATAATAGAATGATACCGAAATTTCCACTGAAATAATTACTATTTAAATAATTTAAAGTTATAAAATACTTAAATAAACCCCCAACCACAAAAATAATACTGTAAAGCGCATAGCGTATTTAGCGCACACAACAGACTGAGGAGTTTAGATGATTATTTTTGTAGTTAAGGGTTTATTGAAATATTACATATTTTTGTTGCTTTATTCTTTTGAGTTAGTGTAATTAAGTGTTTTACGTACTAGTGTATTTTTAGTTTGTAGAATTAAAATAGAATTTATGCGTTGGAGGAATAGAACAAGAGTTTGACGATCTAAGACGAGTAATGACGATAAGTCAGTGGGGGTTTAGGACAAAGGCGTTTGATACCAAATAGTGAGGATGAATGTTAAGGAGAAGATGTATCACTTTTTATGATGGCATTATTGTGGTTTTCTACCACTGGCTAGTTGAGACTTTTTAAATGGTAAAATATGAAAGAATATTTAAAATTCTAACATTATTTATAGGTATTAGAATCTGAAACAGATGCTCTAGGATTTTCAAATTAAACCCTTATCGTTATATGTAATCAAGAACTGAAAATTGCGTCTTTTTTAATGGTCATCATTGTATTGGCTTTTTTATTATTAGTTACAGGTTTAACTTTGGAGGATCTTGGAGATAAAATAAGAAAAAATACTAGACAAGCATTATGAAATCTTATGTTTGACGATATTATGTTACCCAAGTATGACTCTAGTAAGTATCATAAAGCTATAATATATTTACTAATTTAACCATAATAATATTTATACACAAGATGATCAATTTAACGTAAGACACATATTGTCCCGGGTTAATTAAACTGTGTGTCATGAAACAAGCGAATGAAGTGAAATTTATATATATTTGTTTTTTTTTTTACCTGAATAGTTATGATACTACCGAAGTTTTATATTATTAACAAAGCTACCTGTTAATTTAATAATTACATTTTGTAGGCAGGTAGCTTTATTAATAATATAAAATACGTTTTACAAACTGGTATAGTAGATAGAATATAGTACACCACATTGCCAGCACAATATTATAGTTGAGATTTAAGAAATACTATCGGCTTATGATAAGAAAAATATCATGCTGGACGTGGCTCTCGGTAAAAATGATCACAGTTTTTATCAATTATTTTAAATGGCATTAAAATTATTATTGAAGTATGGCTGCCCAGATGCTCAGTTTTCGAAACAAGGGACCAGTAATATTTTGGCCAGGGTTCGAATGCCGTGATTCACGCGTGAATCATATTGTCACAGATTCATTTCTACCTCGGTAACACACAAATTATGTTGGTTAAGTTTGCAAAAAATAAATGATCTTCTCAGTTCAGCATTGACGCTAAGATTTTACTATGTCTGCCAAGACTACATTGGTAGACGTTTTAGTTATAGTGTATTTTCTTTTTCTTTGTAATTGTAAAAATCAAAACTTAGAACGTGACTTCCTCTGACAAAACCTCCAACAATCATTACCTGCAAACATCTGTTTGAGGTTAGCAGCAATAAGACTTATCACTGAGCAGACAATCGGTTAATTTCAATATGGTTACAATGAGTGTATAGTATTTACAGCGCACGTACAATTTTTAGTGGGACAAAGAAAATTTTGTTCAATAGCTGTGCCACTGCAGATTTATAAGTTATATTAAATACGTCGAACTTAAATTTCCAATGAAAAATGTTTTTGTACACTTGTATTAGTTGTGACTGGCACAATAAAATGTCAACTAAAATATTGAAAAATGAAAACTTTTTATTTTTCCAGAAAACCAAGCTAAAGAATATACTGATACACAGAAATGTCAAGTTATAGGATTGGTACTGAGTTGTATAAGCCCTTTAAAGCGTACTGTAAAAGTGTCGTTTACACATACTACTACTACTGTGCTCACTTGTACCATAAAGGATATAAAAAACAACACTAGAAAATACGAAGAGTCGCAGAATGAATTTTGGGAAGTAAGATACGACGATGGCAAAAAAAAATATATAGGAAGACTTTTTGATCAGGTAGAAGTTGAATCAGAAAATTAACGAATCCCTTTAAAATTAAATATTTTTTAAAAGCAAACTATAAATAAATAAATAAATCAATTTAATACACAAACTATATTTTACAATTTTGGTTGTATAAAATCATATTTTACATATGCACTCATATCTTTGTTGTCAAATAATTGTATGTATCTTATGATTAAAAAGGTATCCTCACAGTTTTAAACAAGTTATTTTTTAATTTATTGTTTTATACTTCATATAAACCAGCTTAGTCTTGCGCATGTATGTGGTGTGTTACTCGTCCACACTATTTTATCACTTATGTCTCAATTATTTTTCTGATTTTCATTATTCCAAATATATCCTTTCCCCTTTGAATTTAAAAAGTATGTTCTCATTTGAAAAAAAAACGAGGTCCATACTTCTAATACTCATAAGCAATAAAGATAAAAAATATAGTATAATGTGTACCTGCAAGTAGAATAAAAAAACGGATTGGTACTGCACACTTATAAATGTTTTACTATTTATAGTGATTCTCATATTAGATAGCTGACGAAAGAAATCATTTGTTAGATTTAATTAGTTATTACTTTTAAGGGTGGAGTGGCAGGATACTTATTTATTATTATACTTCTAAAAATAATGACATAGTAATCAAATTTCGATGTCGAATTTCAATATAAAAGAACAAAAACTGTAGACCCAGTTATATTAATACATTGTTCCGATTTTGGCAATTTTCATTTGAAATAATACATTTCAAAAAACGGTAGTACTATTTACTAAAAAACTACACTACAACCAATTAAAGTATGTTTTGTAAAGGTTTCTAAATTAAGCTTAAATTCGATTGTATTGTATAAAACAAGATAAATAGTTACGATAAATAGTCAATACTTGTGACTAAACGAATTGTAATTAAATTATAGAAATTGTTTTTTTTGAATATAAGTATAAATTATTTGATTTACATAAATCAATTTGAATTATTGTATTTAAGACACTGGTACCTTAATCTTTATTAATTTTTAATATTAGCTTATTACAGGGACTATATAATTTTTAATTTAAATAGGATTTTATATTCAGACAAACATATGAAAACAATTTTATTTAAGTATTTTTATATTAAGTTTATGTTACTTTTTGCATCCTCGATACCTGCGTCTGTAAATATTTTGTATAATTTTAATAAAACATAATATTATTACATAAAAAACATGTATACTGACTTATATTCAATACCGTCGCATGATAATCTTCATCTGTATAAAAAGTTCAAAATTAAGGTTTTTTTTTTATAAATTTAAACTGGTATAGGAATGTGTAAAAATAAAATAATCACCAACTTCAGCTACCAATTGATTTACCAAAGTAAATGATATAAAAATACATATAAGTTTCATTTTAATCTGCAAACAATAATAATCATTAATTATTCATGTGTAAACATATTAACTTGCGTTACGATGTTTTGGGTAGAAGTATATGCGTTGTAAATACCGGATGTCGGTGACGGAAGTAGAACTGATGGAAGTGAATTTTACAGGAAATCGAAAGTAAACATTCCATACCAGGATCCAACGAAAAGTTACCTTTCAACCAAGTATTTACCCAAAAACTTTTCATAGCTAGGCTAGACTAAGCCATAGTACAAAAAAAAAAAAAAAAGAATCTAGTTATTTTCTTCGCTCCACGAAAAAAAACAATAAATCATGGAATTTATATCTCCTATTACTTACCTCTAATCTCTTATCCCTTATATCTTTCTGTTATCTCTTATCTCTTTTCTTTTATCTTTTATCTCAGCTGTTTCATTCATAAAACAACCACTAGACTGATCTCATTTGACTTATATCTCATCACTTACCTTATCTCTTGTCTCTAATATCTTATTATTATCTCTCATCACTTGTATTTTGTCACTTATCACGTGAAAGTGAAAGTGTAACGCGAAAATGGCGGCATGAATACATTTTTATCGTATTTCATTAAATTAGAAGCATGGACAAGTAAGTAACCCGTTCATTGATTTCATGGTATTTCATACTGTGATTAAATTTAAATCATTTTCAACTACATTTAGTTGATATGTCAATAATAATAATAATAATAATAGAATAAAAATGTAGGTATAATATTATATTTAGCTGTTTCACCAAAAAAAAAAAAACATTTTGTAACATTTAAGCATGTATGTACATTTAAGTATGTATAAAACACACGTTTTCTTGATTTTGATTTTTAACATGCTTTTACTTTCGGCCTATGCAATACCGATTGTAGTTTATGCGAGTATTATTTGTACAATTTCTGTAACTAGTTTTGTGATTTAATTAAAATTGACTTAGCGGTTCAAAAGTTATCGCAAGCAAATATGAAAATTTAAAAATTAAATAATTATTAAAACTTAAAAAAAGTATATAAATAATGTACTTACAATCTTAGATACTGATTAGTATTAGTTAGTGAAACGATAGAATTTAGTAAATGTTGATTGAGAATTATTTATGATATAAGTAAGTTTTTAATTTCGACCGATACTGTAGAATATAAAATGTGGTTAGAATGACTAATGTAAATAATAGCGTCTAAACTTAGTGTTCAAAAAATGTAAATATATTATAAATCATAGTTAAAAAAAAAAAGTAAGCCAGCTTAGTAAATAAATTAACACTATAACACTGCAAAATATATTCAGATTTTACTTTTTCGCTTAACATATAAGCTCATCAACAAGTCGCAAGATAACCACTTTTAGCAAGCTGATCAAATTGGTCTTCTGCTTATAAGATCTACCAATTCAATAATTAAATCGAGTGATCCAAAAAACTTCTTGAGATTGTAAGTACACATTCAATATATTTGTGTTATTATTTATAGTTATTTGTTTTTGTGTTTATCTGGCGATAATTTTTTTAGCCAATTCTATTTAAAAGCAAGTCTGTTATTAAACATTATTTTTTAGTAAGGGATAGCCAAAAAATAACTATTTTAAAAATATAATTATAATTTGTTTAAAGTTTAATACAAGTACTGTTGCTATTGACTTGTTGGTATTGTTGTTGACTCGCCTTTTTTTGTTAACATTTGATTTTTTTTTTTATAAAATTTAAATTTTTTGATTAGATTTAACATTCAAATTTTATACAACTTGATGTTATAGTACTTATTTCTGATATAAAAATTGTAGTTTATCTTTTCTTAAAAAAGTTTTTGTTTCAAAAATAAAAAGTTTTCAATTGACCAGTCAAATCTTCATTTAGTTCTTATTTTCTAAGCCAATGAAATAAATTAGGTACGTGACTGTTTAATTTTGGAAATTTAGAAAAATACTGGTCAAACTATTTCTATCGAGTAAACCGAACAAATCAATTTACACCAGTACAAACAAATATAACAACTTTTTTTGATATTTTTTTGGATTTAAAAAATAATTGAAATAATTAATTGTCGTCTGTGTTCTATAAAAGAAACTTTATATTTTTTATTATTTGCAGATAAAAATGATATTCTACTGGGTTTTAATATCATATGCTTATGTGGACGTTATGGCACATGTTAATTTGTGTAATTATTTCATTTACATATACGTGTAGTTCATATAAAGCTAACCTAACATTTTTTTACAGTGGAGTATACTGATCTGGTTGACATGACAAGTCAGTATATTTTTTTTTGCCTAAAAAATCAATTTTAAGTTTCCACTATTATTGTTTTAAAAAAAAATGAATTTAATTAATGTTCATAATTTATTACAGACGAACTCATCGAATGTGCTTGCTACACGTTTTTTCCTAATAAATTTCATAGTAAGATATACATAAAATTAACACACTGATTTATAATTGTCAAATTATGAAATTATTGGAAATTATTGGAACTTGAATAGGGTATTGTATTTACATATTTTTGGTTACGCGGAAAAGGGAAACTATAAAATTGCAATTATTTTAAGAAAAATTGAGTGTCTTTTCTTTCGGTGTTGGTTTTACTTTGTAATTCTATAGCTCAAACAGTTGTATGTTTAATGTTTGTTCTAGGTGGATTCGGCATTGCAATTAAGACCATTGTTCGTGGAAATCAATATACGTTCGGTAGTCGTTACTATACAATAATAATAATAAAACAAAATAGAAGCTTGATAGTAGAAAATTATAATTTAAAATGACAAAAAAATCCGATCAACAATTATTTATCTTTACCCTAGAACAATTCGAGTTCGGAGAGTTTAGTAGGTGCCTTTCACTAAACTTCCAAATTGAACTGCTAAAAGTGATCAAACTATCGTTCCACGGGACTCCCAAGGAAATACTAAGTTACATTTTCAGAACTCAAATCAGAACTTCTAACTATAAATGTTCATTTCGGCTTCTTATACTTGGTCCTAAAAACAAAACAAATTTGGAATTTTTTAGTTGGAAGATTATGTAAAAAAAGGGGGAGGGGAAGATTTTACGGAGTCAGATATGAGTTCCTAGGAAACTTCTGTGGATCCTCCGGTGCTAACGAGCAACATTTATATTAGCTCTCTGAATCTCATCTAATAATAATTATATTTGTCCTACACGCCATGTCAATAACCAATTTATGAAATCTTAATTTCAGATGAAATGAACTATATGTTGGCAATACCAGGTAACTATTTTTTAGCATTTTACGTTCATAGATTTTCCCACGGTTGTATGATATTCATTAAGTTTTGGTTTTAACTTTAGATTACGCAGATTATACTAATCTTGAAGGTAACCGAATGCACTTTTATGTATTTTATATTTATTTTATATATATATATACATATAATTTATATCACGAGAAATTGTGTACGTCAAAATTTAATTTGTTTTTAATGTTAGCTTTCAAAGGATACCAGACAAGAATGCAGACCGAAATAATCAATGCCACAGGTAAGTTTAAAAGTAAATGTATTTTTGCAAACAATTTTCAAAATAAATTATTAATTAGTTGTAAAAAGAAACGGTTAGCGATTCCATTCTAGTTCAATGTCAGTTATAAAGTCACCTATTATTTATGTCGTTAATTCAAACGTGGCTTCTAGAAATAGTTTTAAGTTTACATAATTTTTTTATCGATTAATTGGCTTAAGAAATCTCAATTAGAGCGTGACTGTTATAATTAAGATACAAAAACTGGTTTTTATTAACAATATTGTTATAATATGGTATTTTTTATTTTTGTTGTAGGTCTCAGGCATGTTCCGGCAAATGGAGGTAACTACGCCTTTATCTGATGTCTTAAACAGTCCTTTAGTCTCGAATAGTCAACCGCAAAGTGAACCAATATTGCTTTGATTGATTTTACTAACAAGACTTATTCATAGAGCTGGAAATTAATTAAGTGTTTTAAAAATTTCAAAAAAAGTTATAGCGAGCTATAGTTTAAAGAATAGGATGGTAAATTTTTCCACATTAAAAGGGAAGGATTCAACTTTCTTTTTTTGGTCCATATGGTATCTTTCAGGATTTTGTATTTATGGACTTGCTACATAAAGTAATCTGGTTAGCGGGCTAAGGTTATCGTGGTCTCAGAATAAAAAAAAAAACAAAACCCATGATTGTGTAAACAGTATTTTTTCAGCTATGCGAAGAAACTAAGAACAATATTTGTTATTTGTTAAAAATGCGGTTACTTATTATATTTCCAAGGTCAAGATATTACAAGTCTTGGAAATTTCAGAAGAACATGGACTAAGGAAACTATAAGACGTCTGTTCGACATTGATTTGTTCCGTAAGTATTCATATTATACGGTTATAGTAGTTTTATTTTAGCCTTAATATTTACAAATATTAATAAAAATATCGTATCTATGAAATCATTACTTTTTCAATAATTATTCATAACACAGTAACTTACAAATTGTTTTTTGGTAAATTGATAAAATTAAAGAAGTCATCCATACATATATATTTGACACTTTATCTATCACACGCTTACGCTTACTTGGTAATATACATAGTACTTAATATTTTTAAATTGAATTTTGTTCTTTACATAACGATGGAAGCATTCGTTCTATCGCTTATGCGATCCTTTTTTACGCCAATCCTTTTACAAGATAACTTATAGGTATAGCAAAAATATGCTTAAAACTTTAATTTCAGTATTTAAGTGGATACGATTAGAATTGTTGATTTGTCTAAGAGTTATTCCCCATTTAAGATCTCCCATAGATTAGAGTAGTGTGTTGCACAATAAAGAAAACTAGTAACTAGAAGCTAAACTTGACAATTTGCTTAAAACTAAAATTATTTTATAGATGGAGACGATTCAAATTATACAGATGATCAGAAATGTTATTTAATCGGAATAGCAATACAATCAAATTATGTATCCGGTTATACAGTAAGTGCTGAAATGAAAAATGGTTTTTGTGTCATAATGGATACACACGGCTGCGGTAGAAAATACAAAGAGATTGGGAACCAATTTTGGCAAGTACACTGGACTCAAACCAATTTAAGAATAGGAACACTTCTTGATCAGTTAAAATTTATAATTGCACCATGAAGCATAAGCATAGTTTTCTTTTAATAATTAATTCATAAATTACATAGTACGTTCTACATTACGTTTAAAGAATTGTCAACATCATCATTGTCAAACAATTTAATATATTTCACAATAAACAATTTTGCTTGCGATTTTAGCCACATTTCTTGTTATTGTATTGTTACTTATTAACACCACTTCAGGGATCTGACATTTTTTGGAAAAATGTTTTTTTTCTTCTAATTTTAGTTTTGATACATAGGGGAAAAGTGTTTTGATAATTTTCCGATCTATCCATTTGTCAGCTAACTGGTGACAACAATGATTGAGTTTTGAGATCAACAACGCCAATAATCTTTATATTAATGGCATTGGAAATTGATTTAAATTTCTAAATAATATTGTTCTAATGAAAAAAAATGCAATAATAGAAAATAAATAAAGGGGTAGTTAGGATGGAGGGTAAAGTTTGTGTATCTGATATAAGGTGTATATGGGTTCGTTATTAAAATGTCCTAACGTCTTCTGACTATATTATTACTCTAGGAGTATTGTGGTATAATATTTTCACGTACCTTATTACGGTTGAGCAATGATGTTCAAGGCTGTAATAGCTGCCAAGGTATTTATGCGCAAGGCTGCAGATGCTTCCAAGACAATGAAAACACACGAGGGTGGTACAACTTTCAAGATACCTAGGGTTGAAATATTGTTGCCTATTGCCAAACTACGGTTATAAAATGAAAAAGAAAATAGATGTTTTAGAGGAGAGAAAATATAATCGGACTTGGGTTTTCCAAGGTATACACTAATAATTATAAAACCAAAAATAATTCACACTGGTCGGTTTTTATAATTTTTGAAAATCGTCAGTTAGTTAGGTGGGTCATGAAATTCTAAAAATCCTGCATACTAGGTCGACGTTACTTGCACGTTATAAGGTATAACGCAAGCTCAATATGGACATCCAAATAATGTTTACAGTCTTATGAAAGTGCAAAAAAATTTAATGTAAGCGATTACATTTGTTTATTTAGGTATGTATAGAGTGAAAATGGAAACGCACATCAAACTACACAAGTGGAAAAAGACTAAGGAAAGTACTAAAGAAAAAAATGTTGTTTTCGAGCCAACGCTTAGGCAAGAATTCGACAAAACCGTATTTGAATAAAAAACCATATTATTAAATTGTTTGGTTTACTTTTGAACTCGGTGTCACTTTTGAAAAACATGCACCGATGTGCAAAACTATACAAAAACCTCACAAGGTCTTATCATTTGTTAATCATCCTGGATATATATATTTACAGCCCGTGGTATTCCGACGGTCAGTAGACCTATTTTTATTTCGTGTATTTGATTTAAAAGATGGTTTTTATCAAATAAAGTTGGATGAGGAATTTACTAATTGTTGTACATTCAGTAGTCCGTTTGGCTGTTACAGATTTTAGTGAGCACTATTTGGACTAGCCACGATACCAGACATTTTTCAAAATGTATCGAAAGTGTAGTAAAGTGGGTTTTTCTCAGAATACCGACATCTTATTGCATTCTTTACGGTTTCAATACGGTTCTACCCTAATTATGGGAATTGTTCGTGCCATTTTTACTATCCGTATGCAACGAGTGTTTTTTATAAGCTCGGTTAAAACGGTTTATTTTTAAATACATTTAATGTATTGATCATTTTGATATTTGAATGTTTACAAAAATTATTCATAAACGTATAAAAATAAAACTAGAACAGTAAAATAAGTTTTCCTTATGAGTCAATTGAAATGTAAGTGACTGAAATTGAGTAGGTACCATTATCGTGAGTTTCAACAATTTTTTCATCAAAGTATCGGTTCTTGCTAACATCCCTGTTTGCATATGTTATTGAACAAATTTCAGTATCGACTTGTGCACGTGTATTGTGCAAATAATAACGTCATGTTTTATACTAAACTAAAAAAAACTGCCTTGCTAGGAATTTACAAAATGTGGTTTTCAATATACAGGTGTAGAGGCCTGTTAATGATGTCAAGGTGGATTTTGTTCGGTTACTTCAAACAAGGCCATGTATTAGTTGTGATAGCTTAAGCACTCGTAGTTAATTAAAAATAATCTTTAAGAGTATAAAACAAAAAAACGGGTACCAGCTTTCCCTCGAAGGAAACACATTGGAACATGAAATTAAAAATATAGCAATAAATATAAGGAGGTAACCCATGTACGAATTTATGGGTTTAGAAAAACAAAAAACCAACAGAATATATTATGTATTACCAGTGCACATTATAAGCGATACCAAATTATCTGATTTAATATACTATACAAAATAACGCTTCTTGATAGGATCATAACGAATAAACATGTTTTTACTTAACACTAAAAATATATATTTCAAACCATTTACATCGGCTTAAAGACCATTTAGAACTCCAGCGTTTTGTTATGTGATTATACTGTATGTACTATGCATACGGGATACATATTATAATATCATTTTTAAGTATAACAACGGTTGTTGTTTAAATTTGAATTGTAGTTGATTTTTTTATTTAAAAGAGCAATCGGTGGTGAGACAACTTTGATGTATAAAACAAATGTAATATCATCAGTATACACATTGCACAATAATAATTAAATATGGACAAGTGGCAATACTTAGGCTTTATTAATTTATTCAGTTTCTTATTGCGTTTCCTCTGAACTGAACGTAGTCGGTATTTACAAAACAAAAATTGTTCGTAGTTTCTTGCTGCTTTATTTATGTTAAATGTTTTCATCCATACCGCACACATTGTAAATAATCATCCACATATTATAATTATTTTTAAATACTTGTTGTTGCTCGCCTAATACAAGTGGTGTGTGTGAAAACGTTATGATATTTCTTAACGTATTTAGCTTCGTCGTGAAGTGTTTTATAACATTTAGTGCACGACTTTTAGCACTTGTTTATTTGTATACATACGTTATATATGATATTGTTTTCAGCTTCTCTTCCAGGCGTAGTCTTAGATTTATGTTTTAATTAAAATATGTTTAGATATCGAACACATAAAAATGTTGTATTTTAACATGAGTATGTTTTTGGGCTGGGAGTCATTCCGAAATTTGCGTGGGACATTTTTAGAATAATATAATATAACAATGCTAAAACTTGCCTTGAACACACCCCACTAAAATGTCAATTTATTAGAAAAAAGTATTAGGGACTTAAATACATTATACATTAGAGCTGTGGTAGTTTCGCGGAACCGTAATGCTAAAGTAAATTAACAAAGCTAAAGTAATAAACACGTTTTCTGTATTGGCGGTCAGTCGCCGACGCGACATACCGAAATTTTTTTAATCTACGATTAATACGTCACTCATTAAACGATTAAAATTAGTTTATTCGGGCAATTGTTATCGTTTTAGGTGTAGCCCCGGTTCATGATTTGTTTGGTAAGTTTATTGTGTTGAACAATTGGGATGATATTATTTTAATTAAAAAGCTATTACTTTTTACTCTTTTTAGAATTTTGTTGCTGTAGAATTTACTCCAGTTCTACATTTAGCAGTTTTTAATTGGATAAAACTCATTGTCGGTACTCATTAACTTTTTCCTCTTTTGTTGTTTCATTTTGCGTTCTTAAACTTTGTTTTTTACCCAAATATCTGCTATAGGTATTAGCATTTTATTAGAAACTAATTAAATGGTTAAATAATAAAATATATTGATGATATTTATCCGAAATATATTTTTTTAAATAATACTTACATAATCGGTTGCAAAGAATAATATTATATCAAATAATGATTATAGTACAGTTGAGTGTTAAATCACTATTAAATAATGGTGCTATTCTGTGGATAGTATATTCAATCCAAGCACAGTATGAACCAACACAGTAAGGAAGTATTTATGTGAGGTGCATCTACAAAGCAGCAACAAACGGTTTTGTTAAAAGTGATTTTATCAGAGTAATCCAGTATAGTGGGGTTGGAGCATAGTGGGAACGGGCAGTAGACAGGTCTACAGGAATTATTATATGTGAACGTGATAAAATTACTTTATAAGACACCTCTTTAATACTTTCATAGTTTGCTGGTTTATACTGTGCATGGTTTTGGACTATACTGGTTTGAAATTTCTATCCACAAAAAAGAACTATGTTGATGCAAGGTTAGCTTTCGTGTTCAAAAACAGTTATTCTGTTTTACATTACTGTCAGTATATTTTGTTGAAAACAAAATCGCTATGCTGGTTATTACTACTTTTTACTATTCACATATTCACAATATGAATTTGATTAAATTTTCTTTGGGATTTAACAATAATTGATTTGACCTAACGGCGCTAATTTCTTACTCTCTGCTGTGCCGTTTTTTGGTTGTTTACTATTATTTTTGGTTCTTAATGACAACACTGCAAAAGTTGTTGCAATTTACATCTATTATTTTTAAATTTTGACCGAAAAGAACCGTTGCCAACGTGAGGTGGTCTTAAAAATAGTATATCCTTTTAAAAATCAATCAACTAATATCAAAAAAAATATTTGTATCAATGTGATTCAACAAACAATAAAGTTCAATTTTATTGCCATAAGTTATCCGTTGAACAATTTGTATCATATACAAATCTGTAGTATTGTTTTGTTACGGAGAAACCTATAAAATTTAATAACATATTTTTAAAAAAATGTATTCATTTGTATGATAAATACCTAATACTCCCCGTGCCCAATACGTCCCAGTGCCTCTGCGCTGGCTTTTGTTTTAAATTTGAACATTTTAAAGATAATAACTTATGGTTTTTGTAGAGTAAATAACAGGTTAGTAAATGTGTTATACTCTGTTTCAGAATAATGTAAATATGTTAGTCATAACGAAAAATGACTAATATTGCTTATGTTAATAAATTCGCACAAACAATTCTGCAAAACATATCTAAATTTTGTTGTTTCAATCGACATAACACAAGCCATTCGCCAGTTCATAAGAAAACCATCGAATCAGTCTATTAAACTGCTATACATTTTCAATACAATTGTTCAAGTAAGTAATTTTATCAAACTTCATAAATGGTAAAACTATACACGTTCAATAATATGTTTTTATTCGTTTTTTTTCTAATTTAAAATTTTTTTTCCTCATTTAGACCTTCGAAAACATTTTATCCGACAGTCCTTTTACATCAAGTCCATAATTAAGTAATACTATCGTTTTAAACCATTAAATACAAACCAGGCATTCAAATTAGCATCAAAGAGCTTATTATTAAGTGATCACTTTTATTTATGACAACTCCTGTAACCCAGTGAACTATCCGTCCCCACTATGCTTTGATCCCATTGTGCATAGGCCCCACTGTACTGACTTGCTCAGGTAAAATCACTTTCAGTTGTTTTAATTCCTGTAAACCTGTGACCTCCCCACCGCCACTGTGCCCCGACCAAACTATGCTTCGTCCCTACTATGCCCGACCCCACTATACTGGCTGTTTTATTGTAAATCTATAATATGTTTAATCAATGATTTTACTCTGTAATACAACCAGAATATAAGCAAGTGTTTTTTGCAGGCGTGATCTATACATAATACGCGATCAAATATTGTAATAAACATCCTATTGTATCGAATGATTACATTTCAATACATTAAACACCGTAACAACAACACAGTGTTTGGGTAGAATTTAAAAGTTTTTTTTTTATATTTTTCTACTGTCGGTAAATACAAAAGAAAAACATCAAACACGGTTTAAAACTTGATAATTTGTATACAATTTAATAGTAATCTGCTGTTATTGGCTTATTATTTTTATATTTAAAAATTTGGAAATAATGTGATTTTTTTTTTTGTATTCGAATTTTCTTTTGTATTTATGTTTTTTCTTATGGTAAAATTAAACCTTAACAAGAATAGGTGCCTCACCATTTACTGTAAGTATAATAAGTTACACTAATTGTTAATTACTATCAGCAGTTTTGCACATAAGGTTTTTTCCAGAAAATTATTTTATCACTTTCATTTGTATTAATTCCCGAACACCTAGAAGTAGCCGTCCCAGTATTAATGTTCCGTAACAACCATAACTTGACCACGACATTTAATTTAATTCTTTTTTTTGCTTTTCTTAAAAAAAATATATAAAGGGTTGACTATTCTAATTTAGTGCAATTAAAAAAATATTTGCACCTTTTCTAATGAAAATGGTTAGGTGTATTTATGGCGATTAATATAATGTTTTTTTTATTATTTGCAGGTAAAAATGCAACTTTATTATGTTTTAATGTCATGTGCCTTTTTGAATGTCTTGGCCTATAATATGAGTAATTATTTATTTTACGTAATCGAGTAAGTTAAAAAAGAAAAAACTAAACCTAATTTTTTTCACAGGGGATTATTTTAAAGCGGTTTACAGTACAAGTCAGTAACCTCCTTTTTCATACATAATTGCTTTTAAGTTTTTTGTTTTTGAAAAAAAAATTGAAAGTAAATTATTTAAATAATTTAGTAATTTAAATGTAATAAATTTAGACGGACTTATCGACCGTGCTGTTCGCATGAAGTCATTTCGTCATGAAAAATTAAGTAAGGAAAACTTAAAATAATACACTGATATAATATAATGGCTGTGGGGTTATTTAACATAACAGTGTGAGTAACTAGTGTTAAGTTAAATAGTCACCATTTAATTATTTTATACTTTTATTTTGAGAATTTATACTTAAATTATGATTTTATAGTTTTAACTATTATTTGATTATTCTAGATGCATTCGAGTATACCATAAGGGGAATGGTTTTATCAGATGATACTGATTTCGCCTTTGGTAGTTATAAACTATTTTATAATAAAAACATAAATATAACTAGATGCAACTCCCAAAACTAATCCATAACCGTTTCATGGGAATTTCAAGAAAGTATTAAGTTGAATTTATGTGCTCGAGCCAAAAATCCAATCAGAGCTCTATATTTCAAATTATCCTTTATACTTCATATTATGATTGCAGCCCATTTCACTGCATTTAATAAAATTTTAAAAATTATATTTTTACCGAATAATTAATAAACATTTGTTTTGTACCTTGATTTCTGTCTTCAAATATAATATAATATAATTAATTCCAATACAGTTGAACATGTAATCAATTTGTGTTGCCTTAATTTCAGATAAAATGAAGTTTATGGTGGCAATACCAGGTATTAGTTTGCTTAGCTTTTTGTGGTTATATTTCAATACAGTTATTTGATTTTTCATTAGGTATAAACGTGTTTTTGTTTTAATTTCAGAACGTGCAGAACGTGAAAATCTAGACAGTAATAATTACTTTTATAACTTTCCAAACTTAAAATGCTTTATACTACCATACGTACATAACTAATATAGATCGAGAACAATTATGTACTTCCATGGGGATTTCAATTTAGAGTTAGGGTGTACATTAAAGTTGAATTTGTTTTTCAATTATAGGATACGTGGGATTCCAGTTACGTTTGCAACAGGAACTAACCAGAGTTACAAGTAAATTAAAAATGATCGATAAGTTAAAAAAATAACCATTAGATCATTTATTTCAAATTCATAAGGCGATATGTTTCTCGCCTAACGTTATAATGATTGTTCGTAAAATTATGTAAATCGTTAATTTAAACGGGACTTCCTACTAAAATCATTTTTATGTATACAACATATTTTACATTAATATAGATTTAGTTTTATCAGTTTTATTGTGAACTCTATAAATAAAAAATGTTTAAAATGGTTTTTATTCGTGTATTGTTATATTTTGACATTTTATATTTTCGTAACAGGTCTTGAACCGGTACCGCTAAATTCAATAAGTAAGTAAATAACTCTTTACACTTAGATTATCAATCTAATTTACTCGAAATTACTCGAATTTAAAAGAAGCAGTCTACTTCTCAATTTCGGCAGCATTGAAATCTAAAGTTTACAAAATACAAGTTTAAGCGCTTTATAATTAATTATCAGTTACATAGAGTGTCTTTGTCAGAGACTTGGATAAATATCTTTCTTTCGATTTTCTCTCCGACTTCTTCCAATTATATTAATTGTGTTATATTGTTGTTACAGCTAAGGAACCGCCTCGGACAGGTATGCATGCATATTTTATTAGTATTTACCATTAAAAATCAATACCGAAATATTGCAACTGATATTACAACTATTAAACTTAATGACTACATTGACTCCATTAAGTTATTTTTTACCAGCCAGATTTATTTTTTGAGTTGAACGTAGTTGGATGTTAGTGTTAAGATTTAGAAAATATGGCAATTATGACAATGAAGGGTCATATTGTCAAACAACCAACCCTAGTCGTTGCCGCCTTAATACTAAATAAACAAATTTAAACGCTTTACCGGTCTTCTTTACTATATTTTTAACTATCAGTTACATAGTGTCTTCATCTGAGACTTTTTCCGATTATATTGAGATGTTATATTTTTGTTGCAGCTATTAAACTGCCTTCACCAGGTAAGCATGCATTAGTTATTTTATTAGTTATTCATAAATAGCTCTTTAGACTTAAATTATCAATTGAAATTTCTTGAATTAAAAAGAAGCAGTTCACGCCTCGTTTTTGGCAGGAATGAAACCTAGCAGTAAACAATCATTAATATAATGTATTATATAAAAAAGAGGTGTCATTATTTGTAGGTTAACTGTATAACTTCTTACCGTTATAAAATGCTACCAAAACTTGAAGTGCTTTATTGTGTTTTACTCCGAATTTTATTATGATCTTTGTCTTTATTAGAGATTTAGGTATTTATTTTTCTTCTGATTTATTTACATAAAATTATTATTATAAAAAAAATTATCAAAAAACGTTTAAAATGCAAAATTTTATAAATAGAAGTGACCTGAACTTTAGTTGACTCAGTAAGTTTATTTTTTTTTACTTTACGCTCTAAATTCAAGAATAATATTTTGTTTCTCCTTTGTGCAACCTCATAATTAATTTAATTTATGTTATTTACTATAACATGTTGTTGACTGTCATAGTTCTTTTTCATATTATTTTTTGCTGGCTGTTTGATTTTATATTACATTTCAAGAGTTTTTGGCCGTTTATAAAAAATGAATGAATAAATAAGTTATTGATAATAATTTTTTACATATCTGAAAATAGAACTGTAACCTCTCTTATTCCAATTTGGTACGTTCCCGCTATGCTTAGAACTCACTGTACTGGCAATTGTATTGTGTATTACAGAAGATCCTATTCCACAACTTGAAGAAATAGTAAAGGTGGCAAATGTCCTAAGGAAAAAAACTAGAAAAGCTTTGTGGGGTCTCCTCATGGAGGATGTTTTTATACCTGAGCAGCGTAAGTATTATAATGTTATAATTTAATTGGTCTTTTAACCATAGTATATACCATATTACTGTGTAGTATACTATACAGAATGAAAAATTTAGTTCACGTTGTATAAAAATACTACGGAAAAAATCAGATGATCGTGAGTGTGTGTGGGTCAACTTTATTAGGGTATTCAGATAACGACACTGGTACTTCATTATATTATCGTGTACATAATATGATGACTATAGTCATCATAACAGTTATCATCATAACTTAAATGATTTCAATGATAATGTTTTTTTTTTAAAATGTTTAGAGTTTTATTTTTTTCCTATATTTTTTATTGTACACTTGTATTATTTGTATCTTGCAGCTACATTTGACAATTAATTTTTTTCATATTTTTTTAGACCAAGATCATCGTTATACTGATGATGAGAGATGTCTTATAGTAGGATTGGCATCGAGTTGTATAAACTACAATTTTGCACGAGCTGTGCGTGTTGATGAAGATCGAAGTACTGACACTGCGCTTGCAACTGGTCCTATTTGCGCCATTATAGATATAACGGGCGGCGAAAGAAAGTACATAGTTCGAGACTACGAATTTCGAGAAGTAACCCGTGGTCAACCTCATGTATTAATACAAGGTAAATTCGGACACCTTTATAGTCAGTTACTAGATACAGAAATATTACGACAATTAACGGTTAATGTTTTAAGTTAATATCTATATTAAAGTATTTAAATAAATATCATATTAGATTTCTCACACCAGTTTGTTTTTAATATTTAATACATAAATTGTATGGTACTGTTATAAATATATTTAACTCATGTTTTACATAACTCGCACATATTGTTAAATAATTTTGAAAGTATATAATAAATAAACAGTTTTCCTCTCTATTTAAAGACACGTATGTTGTTTATTTATTGTTTTTATACTTATATACTGCTTACTTCAAACTTAATAGTATAAATTGGAATGTATCAATACAATTTGTTACTATTCAAAAAAATAAAGACGCTGTGCACTCTGTTGTAGCGCTGACAGATGTTTTTTCTAATATTTACTCTTACTTTCTAGTACTTAATGTTCATATCAATAAATGTTTTTGACTTTTTTGGGGACATACGATATAGGGGTGGTTCGCCTGCCTCTTCAACGGCAATACAACAAACAACAGTTTAATGAAAATTTATTTTGTCAAATGTACCTGTCAACTGTCGATTTATTTATCTTCAAGTCTCTCAACCATGTCTTCGGACTTTCCCCACTAACCTTACGTCATCCGCAAACACTATACACTATAGCACCTCCCCTGTATATCTTTCGTAATCTCATCCATTACTAAAGAGAAAAAGAAAGTACTCAACGCTGGACCTTCATGCACACCTACTCTTAGAATAGAATCTTCCGTTTTTCCATACACACTCATGTACGCAAGTACAACTTCAGACTTCTCCCTTGCCCTTAAATATTGGTACCAGAATACTTTTCCTCTACAATTCCGGTATTTTCTCGTCTATAACACCGTGATAAGGAAATCTGTCAACCACCCTTTACTGAAGTTGTCTAACACCTGCCATACCTCCACTGGTACTCCAACCGGTCTTATCGCTTTCTTCATTTTCATCTTTTTAACCGCATTCCACACTGCTTCCTCCTAGTTAAGTTCACCATACTTAAATTAAATGATACCTGCTCTCTTTCCTCCTTGAACAATCCTCATTCAATAGCCTTTCATAGTACTCTTGCCATCTCTTTTTCACATCCTCATGACACGTCAGAACTTATTTATTTTACCCTTTCATACACCACACATTCTAAAAATATCTGGACTTTTTTTTTAAATCTTGGGCAATTTATACATACGTTTTTCCTTCTCCTTTGTTCCTAATCTCTCGTACAAACTATCATACTTTTTGCTTCCTTCACTACCTTTTTTGCTTTTTTATTTAATCGTTTGTACTCTAACCAATCCTCTCTCCTTCTATCTTTTTGCTATTTAAAAAACTGAGTCTTTTTCCATCCTCTCTTTTTCTGTGTCATACTACCTTTACTCTCACCTACAACATCCACTGCTACCGTCTTTATACCATTTACTAACCTATTCCAAATGTCATCTACTTTTCTCTCCATGCTCCATAAAACCACAAATCTTCTTCCTTCATTTTCCTCACAAATAACTTTTGTTGACATTTTTATGTCTTTCCTTTGGCACACACAACACACGAAAAATCTACACCAATTAACGACACCGGTTATCATAACGAAAAAAATCAGCTGATTTATCTGATAACATAAGAGAGATAAAAGATAAGAGATATGATTTTTACTTTGGAACACAACCGGAAAAATCGACACCGACATCGAAAATTTATCCTTATACATATCCTTCTATAATATAGAAGTATATAGAAACTATATCCTTATATGTCCTTCTTATGAGGGTGGGAATGGAGATGGAAATGGGGATGGGGCGGGTATGAGGCTGGACTGGGTGTGGAATGGAAATGAAAATATTACATTAATGTGATAGGATATAGGAGATAGGGGTAAGAGATAGGAGATTCAGAGATGAGGGATGGGGTTGGGAATGGGGTTGTGGGTGGGAATGGGGGAGGGGCATATATGTTATATTCACATTTTTAAAATTATATGTTGTTTTCACAACTAACAAACTTTAATGAATGGTTAAATTGATTCAAAATAACTAGGCAAGTGAATGTTTTGCCAATAAATCAATTAAGGCCAATTATTAAAAAACTACTTAAAAACTTTTGGCCACAACATAAAATGAATCATCACCTACCTTTCGAGTACCGTGGTTCCCATTGTTACAAACCAAGTATTTATTTTGGGTTAGCAACGAAAAATATTTCAACATAAAAATGTATCCCATGGTGTTGGGGATTCGTATGCAAGCTTTTTTCACCAGTTTACTTTCACGGCCTAATTTTCGGCACTTTATTTATCTGTACCTTTCCTCTTGTTCACTTTGTTTCCTTCACACTAGAAATCTAAGACCATTAACATTCAACTACCTTATTCCTTAGAATTAGTTTTACTATTATTACTCTATCGCTTTTACTAACAACTTCTATCACGTTTGCTTTCATCTACTCATCTACTATCACTCCTACACCATTGCCGATACTAGTCTTCCCTGATTATGTTATCTTACATCCTTCTCCGATTTTCTCTGCATTCCTTCCTTTCTCTAGCTATCTACAATATATTTTTAAATAAAACATGTTGGAAGACAATTCGGTATGAATTGAGTTTAGATTTCGTATTTCTATACTAATAGCTACAAACTACATGCATGTTTAATATAATTTATTGTATAATATGTAGTATGTAAGTTTTTTACAAATATAAATTTAAGTTATTCATTTTAAAATTGTATTGCTTGCGAGACAATTTGTATACACGAAAAGAATAATAAATATCTACAATAATCACAATAAGTAAATAAAAATAAGTGGCAATACCTTGTTGTGTTATTCAATATTTTATGTTTTTACCCGAGATTGAACTTAGAAATAGAAGTTAATTAAGACTCATAAGTCTCAACATAAACAGCCGTCAAATAGATTGCATGTGCTTTTAGCTTCGCAGGGTTTTTAGCTTCTATTAAAGGCGACGAGTTTTTCGTTTTAATTAAGGTTACAGGTCAATTACTACATTTGTTATCAACAAAATGGTCTACCGCCACAAGTCGTAACCCAACCAACGCAACAATAATACATTAAATTGATTTTTTTTAGTCTTGCGGTTATACAAATATAATACTGCTACATTTTTAGTTACTGTGTAGTTGGATGTTTTTTTATGGTTAAGCATCATAAATCAAGACAAGAAAAAATAATAAACCGCCACATTTTATGTTACAGCGATAAATTTATTTAACAAAAAAAAACACAAGCGCCACATTTCTCATAATGACATACAAAAACCAAATGTGTGCAGTTTGGTTTTTTAAAACTCCATTTCTAAATAGCCATAACACCAAATTCTGGTGTCTAGCTAAAATTTAACTAAGTAACTTACAATTAAAATATCAAGCTAGTCGCAAAGGTATTATCCATTTTCCATTTAAACAACACCAAGGCATACTATGTTTTTTTTTTTAACTATGCTTAACTATGTACATTTTTAATACACCTGGGTCTATATTCTACTGGCGTTTAAAAGCTTATGAAAAGACCTTATGGACTGATTATAGTTCTAGTTACGTTTTGACTTGTATTAAAACAAATTCATTTTTTCAGCATTCCAATGATTTTTCTAGAATATACAATTTTCTAAAAAATCTGCAACCCAGCTAAAGGGAAAAATTAAACTTCGATAACTGTCATTTGTAAGTTGCAATTAGTGAGATTGGATTAACAGTCAATAGGCATCTGCAATATATTTGCATTTTATCTTTGGTTACCATATATGGGTAACAACGGCAACGTATTTTAACAGAAAAACGACCAACCCTAATCGTAACCAACCTAATAGTTAAAATACATGTCGTTACAATACTATTAGTAACGATAGTTGTATCTCTCTATAGATTCACTTAGAAACGTTTATTTATATGTGATTTTATCACATTCAGTCAGCTGGGTCCAACTCAATTCCCGTCCCAATTGTACTGGCTTTATGCTTTATGTATATCGGCCGAAAGCCATACTTTACACACGTAGTCGTTGTCTGTAATCGTTCGCGCAAGGTTTTTTTTTTTATTCAAATTACTTTTCGTTTCACGGATTGTTAAAGGCAGTAGCTGTAAAATAATAAAATATCTATGTGCGCAAATCTTATGTAAATAGTACATTTTGTGAAATTGTCAACTTTTGATGGTTCGGTATAATCCTCGAAGTTACTGTGAGTACAGACAAAAAAAAAAAACACATTAATACAAAACCGATACCTTTGCAGCTGTCGCATTGAAAATGAAATATTATTAAATATCTACTTCTAATTTCTTTTCATCATACGAAGAAATATAGCGAAGAACTATAAAATAAAAAGCTATGTGCAATTTTTAGTCGATGGAATAGAACAAAAAGCAATATACGAATACAAATTTCAATACAAACATTGGTTTGAATATCGATTTGAAAACCAATAAATAAGAAAAACAGCTTTAAGACTGCGTCAGAATAATGTAAATATGCAATCGTATTGTAAAAAAAAACCCGGCTATGTAAATAATTAAACAAAGGAACCCTGCAAAATATATTATGGTTTTACTTTTTTCCGTCGTTATATAAACCCATCTACATATCGCAAGAAAATCACTTTAAGACATTTTAACAAACTGTCCTAAATTTACTAAAATACTTGATCGTTAAAATTATAATATTAGCAAGTAACAGACTTAGTCTTCAAAGTTGGTAAGTACGCATTTTATATCATTTTTTTCTAATATTTCATATTTTTTCCTCAAACTTTTTCGTAACATTAACGTATGAAATATTTTTTTGAAATAATAGCATTAGTTTTATAATTGAATTTTTTCATAGGTTTATTTAGTTTTACCTTTTTTTGTGTATTAGGCTTGCGATAATTTTTTAACCGCCCTGCTAGTTTCAATAAATATATTCTAAAGCATTTTTACAGTTTTTAATTTAAAAGTTTTTTTTTTAT